CAGCAAACACTGACGGTAAACAAAGCCACGGCGATAACAAGCGCCTCAGGGTCTCGGAAATGTCTGTGCGCCCTGTCGCGCTCCTCGCGCGCGACCTTATGCTTGGCGCGTTGGTGGCCTTGAAGTGCTCAGTCGAACATCGTCGACATGTTGCACTCTAGGGGCTATTGACTGTTTCTACAACCTCGAACGCTGATCAAGATTTCACCTGATCACAAGAGCTATAGTTTGATGCCAGGTTAGACCTGACTCAACACCTCTGTCGTTACAGCACCGCCTTGGTGACCATTCACCACTATATCCTCAGGCTTCATAGGCCACTACCCTCTGAGAGACGACGCAGAGCTCTGCTGTCTGTCAACCGGCCCATGGTGAACGTCTTTGTTCCTATTCAACACATCACTGCTTCTGGGACGTCTACAAAAGATCTGATCAGATTAGATGCGGGCGGAGAAGAATGCTTACCAACTCACTCCGCAATCGGCTTTGGGCTGGGTAAGCGGATGGCGTGCTTGTACCGTCCGGCAGAGTGTTGACTCCAACGATTGTTCGCGACGTCGACTTTTTGCCGTGTCGTTCGCCTCTTGTCGCCGTCCGCTCGACATTATTCTCCTTTCCACTCTCTGTCTGTTCTTTGGAGTCGCCTCGTGCATTTAGCCAGGCCTTTTGATTGTATTCTTGCAGCGGCTTTGTTGTTGTAGCGCATTTATTCTTCAACCCCTCCACAAATCACGAAACATGTCGGCTTCCGAGCAACAGTCTTCGAGCCTGCCCTTCGGCCAGAACATCTCCTTGAACGATGTTAGCGGCCCTACATACCTGACCGCTCAGACCTTGGTTCAGCAGGTTGCATACTCGCTCTCGGACAAGATCTTCTCGTACTCGCCCGAAACCTTTGACCTCGATGTCGCCGCAAAGAGCTGGGNNGAGAGCGCTGGTGAGCAGAATGCTCACGGTTACAAGACCGGTCTCGCCTCAATGGAGACCCGCGCCGGTGCTGGCTCAATCGCACTCGGATACATGTTCTCCAAGGACTTTGACTTGAAGAAGCGTCACATTCCTCAGTCCATCGTCGCCTCCTCGGGCTCTCTTGCCCATCTGCGCCCTGCTCTCGACCAATTGGCTCTTCTTTACAATGTCGCCAATCCTACTGTCGCACACGTCGCTGCTGTCGACTATGCTGCCAACTCGTCCACTGGTCTCGTCACCGATTACGTCTCGGCCCTTCGTCTCGCTGAGGAACTTGGTCTGGGTCTTGTTGCATCCGCCTCCGCTTACGAGATGCAGCACATGTCCCTCTTCGCAACCTTGATGGCCTCGATCGTTCCTTCTATCCACGTTTATGATGGCATCACTGTTGGCAGAGAGACCACCAGAATCATTGACGTCCTTGACAAGGCGGGTCTTAAGAAGACCTACGACGCCATTCTGGGCGATTCATCCCTCACCGAAAAGAAGCACTCCGACAACGAGGGCAGAGTTAGCCGTCTCATGAAGGCCTTCAACAACGAATTGGGCACCGAGTACAAGCTGTTCGAGTACTCCGGTCACGCCGAGCCTGAGTCTGTCCTGGTTGTCTTCGGTACCGTCGAGGCTTCTCTTGCCTCTCAAATCGCTCGCACTCTTTCGGAGAAGGGTGTCAAGATTGGCGTCATCAACGTCCGTGTGTACCGTCCTTTCGTTGAGGAGGAGTTCCTCGAGGTTCTTGCTCCGTCAGTCCAGAACGTTGCAGTCCTCGGCCAAGTCCTTGACCAGTCCGCTGTCGCTGACGAGACTCAACACTCTGGTCTGTACACCGACGTCCTTGCTGCCCTCAGCTTCGCTACTCTAAACCAGACTCCCGCTGTCTTTGACATCAAGTATGCCAGAGAGCAGGTCTGGACCCCTACCTCGGTCGCTGGCCTCTTGCAGCAGATCGGCCAGAAGATTGATCATGCCCCTACCGATGAGGAGCGTTTCGAGCTCCCCACTGGTGATCTCCAGCAGTACACTTTCTGGGACGTTGACAGCTCCAATGCTGTGTCCGCTCCCATCATGGTTGGCCAACTTCTGTCTGGTGACAACAAGCTCAACGTCAGTGTCCGCAGTGGCCACGACAACCTCGTGGCTGGTGGTGCTATGCGCACCGACATCAGAACCTCGACCAAGTCTATTGAGGCTGCTTACTCTGTTAGCTCTGCCGATGTCGTCATTGTCAACGACTCTGGTCTGCTGAAGAGCTTCGATGTCCTCAAGTCTGTCAAGGATGAGGGCATTGTTGTCGTCAAGCTCGCTGGTGTCAAGGACGATGAGGTTGAGAAGCACCTCTCTACTGACGTTCGCAAGGCTCTGGCCTCCAAGAAGATTCAGCTCTTTGCCCTTGATTCTGTCGCCTCTGCCAAGGTTCAGGAGCAGCCCGAGCTGGAGAGCTACCTTGTCCAGCTTGCTTTCCTCAAGCTCGCCCGTAGCGATCTCTACGAGACTGGTGTCAAAAAGCTCGCTGGTGGTAACGACGCTCTCGAGGCTCTTTCCAAGGAGCTCGATGAAGTTGTTCGCAAGGTCGAAATCCCCGAATCTTGGCTTACTGTTGATCCTGAGGCCAACCAGCCTCCGCTTATGCCTGAGGACTTGAACATCAACAGCTTCATCAAGTTCGACAAGGAGGAGCCTGAAGAGGCTTACCTGCTGAGAGACTGGGAGAAGGTTGCCAAGGGTCTTGCCTTCAAGGAGGCATACGGCACTCAGAACGCTCTGCGTCCCGACCTTGGCGTCAAGACTGCTGTCGTCACTGTCAAGGAGCGTCGTCGTCTTACTCCTAGAACCTACGACCGTAACATCTTCCACATCGAATTCGACCTTGGTCAGACTGGCCTCACCTACGCTATTGGCGAGGCTCTTGGCATTCACGCCGAGAACGACAAGACCGAAGTCGAGGAGTTCATCAAGTGGTACGGTCTCAACCCTGAGGAGGTCGTTGAGGTTCCTTCTCGTGAGGACGCCCAGGTTCTGGAGAACCGCACTGTCTACCAGGCTCTCCTTCAAAACGTGGATATCTTCGGCCGTCCTCCCAAGCGTTTCTACGAGGCACTTGCAGAGTACGCTTCGGACGATGCTGAAAAGACTCAGCTTCTCTTGCTCGGTACCGGTGGTAACCAGGAAGCTCAGGTTGACTTCAAGCGCCGTGCTGAGGTTGACACCGTTACTTACGCTGACCTTCTGCTCGAATTCCCCTCTGCTCACCCTTCGTTCCATGACATCGCTCGTCTTGTTGCTCCCATGAAGCGTCGTGAGTACTCTATTGCTTCTTCGCAGAGAGTCACTCCCACTACTGTCACCCTCTGTATCGTCACTGTCAACTGGGTCGACCCCAAGGGCCGCGACCGCTTCGGTCAGGCTACTCGCTACCTCAACGGTCTTGAGGTTGGCCAGACGGTGACAGTTTCCGTCAAGCCTTCGGTCATGAAGCTTCCCCACAAGTCCACCGCCCCGATCATCATGGCAGGTCTTGGTACGGGTCTTGCCCCCTTCCGCGCCTTCGTTCAGGAACGTGCCTGGCAGAAGGAGCAGGGCATGGATATTGGTGCTGTCATGCTTTACATGGGTTCTCGTCACCAGAAGGAGGAATACCTCTACGGTGAGGAGTGGGAGGCTTACAAGGATGCTGGCATCATCACTCACATGGGTTGTGCTTTCTCTCGTGATCAGCCCGAGAAGATCTACATTCAGGATCGCATGCGTGAGACTCTGAAGGAGATCCGCCAGGCATACCTCCGTGAGGAAGGTGCATTCTACCTCTGTGGTCCTACCTGGCCTGTGCCTGATGTTACCAACGTCCTTGAGGAGGCCATTGAGGTTGAGGCCAAAGAGAACGGCAAGAAGGTCGACTCTCGCAAGGTTATTGACCAGCTCAAGGATGAGGAGAGATACGTCCTCGAAGTCTACTAGATTTAGCGAGTGTGTTGTTGTTCAAAAATGTCTCTTGGAAGCTTTGTGTATATAGAATTGGATTTGTCGATATGGTGAGGTCTTATAATACAATCTTTTCATGATCTCGATTACTCGCACAATCTGTTGAATGCCATGCGTTGTGACTTTTGCGTTCAGGCGACTGCGAATGACTTTCCACTTTTCCATCCTTCGAGACTCTCTGGGGCCTTGACGATCAAACAAAACATCAAGGCTCGGCGGGGATACCCGGTTGACTTGTGCAGTAGAGCTCTGGCTTCCCTGCAAGCCGCCCGCTTCCGTCAAACCAAGAAAATTCTGGAGGAACAAGAGAATTTGGCAAGCACACAGGCTGCACCAGGCACCGTCAGGGCTGTGCAAGAAACACGGTTGATCGGCACTTTCTCTGAGCAGGAGGAACACGGTCGATCATTTTTGTTGTTGTGCTCACCTCAAACACAACGAAATTCTGAAACTCTGTGGATTTTCTTCTACGTTTTGTCGGTTTTATCTCTGAACATAAATTCTTCTGATCAATTGTATGTTTGGAGCCCCGATGGTTTCATCATTTCCATAGACTCTGCAATATCTACGTAACTTCTGCTTGTTCGCATTTCTCCAACCTCCAAGGAGTTGTCGCAAGCAAATGACGTCGCGTTTCTTTTCTTAGGCCCCTGTCTCGTGCTCGGGAAGGCTCGTACTTTTTTAGGGGCTCCACTGCACACCACCACCTGTTTTTTCTGGTGTGTTCTGCCCGCGCCCGAGCATGCTCATGCTTTTCAACAACACTGTCGACACGCTAGCACAGCAGTCTTGGCTACTTTTGCTTGCAGGACCCTGTCAAGAATAGAAAAAGAGGCGACCCAAGAAAGATGGCTGGTTGCTGGGGTCAATTTATGCAGGCACTCCCGAAAGGCTGACATCTGTGATCATCGCTGCGCGATAAGTATGTATATTATCTGAAACTACTTCTCGCACCTGTTTCCTTTCCTCTTTCTCTTTCTTCCTCCCAACCGCCATTTCATTATTTCGACTCAATCCTTTCATCCTCACAAACAACAACTCCAATCGCAATTATGAGATTCTCCGCTATCTTCGTTCTGGCTTCTGCCACTGCCGCCATGGCCGCCAACTCCATTCCTGCTCTCTTCGCCCGTCAGTCAACCGGCGCTGTCTGCTCAAACGGAGAGTCCTCCTGCGGCTCTGGATGCTACGACCCCACTGCCTACCTGTGCTGTGGCCAGCAGGGTCAAGTCTGTCCTATCGATACCTACTGTGCCAGCGCCAGCCGCTGCTGCCCCACTGGCACCAACTGCGATGGTCAGGGCCCCTCGACTGCTAGCGGTGTCTCTGCCACCGTCGTCCAGTCCGGATCCACCATTCTTGGAAGCTGTAAGTCCATGCCATTTTTCGTAATCACCTTCCCTAGACTCGTAGTGACGAGCCATTCCTTGTAGCAGCATCATCCGCAGCCACATCTTCTGCTTCTCAGTCTTCTCTTTCGCAGTCATCTGCTTCAGAGACTTCTGCGTCGCAATCTTCCTCTGCTTTTTCCTCTCTTTCTTCCGTTTCTTCGTCGAGTCTAACATCGAGTGCCGCAGCCGCCTCTTCTGCCGCAAGCAGTGCTAGCTCCAGCATGTCTTCGGCCGCTTCGTCTGCTTCATCCTCAGGCTCCAAGGCCGCTTCCTCCATGAGCAGCTCTGTTTCCTCAGCTGCTTCTTCCGCATCCAAGTCTGCCTCATCTGCTTCCAAGTCGGCTTCATCCGCTGCTTCGTCCGCTTCCAGCTCAGCAGCAGCAGCAACCTCTTCCGGTGCCGCCGTCGCTGGTCAGGCCACCAACTTTGGTCTTGCCCTTCTTGGTCTTGCTGCCCTTATCTAAGCACTTTCCGTTCCTTATGACAGCATATGATGCCTTGCAAGGTATCTGGGCTGTAAGGAGCGTGCATGCTTCTTTCTACTTCTTAAGCATATGCTAGACGAAAAGTTTGGCTGGTTGATTTTTCCATGTATTTATGATATTGGGGTTTGCATTATTTAATAGATATGGGATATATTGCATGAATTTAGATCTGGACATGATCCTTTGATACTCTTATCGTTGACATATCTTCTCTTTTACGAGACTACTAGGAGTCCATGTGCTAGTGTGTCCCATTTAATCACTGTGCCTCGACCGGTTAGCACCACTGTGAGCTATAGAGTTGAGTGGCTCTATGATTAGATCCATGGCCCCCTGACCCTTAGACTCTGCTCGCACCTGTTTCTCCACTCACAAAAAAGCTCGCCCTATGTTACTATCGATTAAACATAGCGTTTCCTCGTTATGATTAGTTAAGAAGCGGAAGGCGGACGGGCAAAAAGGAAAAGAGATTCCAAAACATACAGCAGCAGGGATTCCCACGTGGTCACCCACCGTAGTACTAATCTGCCATTCAACTGCTTATGTATGGCAGAGCGGATTACACTGCTCTGCAACATATTCCTCTACTAGCCAGGACACAGCCCATGGACGCTTCTCGCTCGTCTTGCCATGTCGATGGCTTCGTCTCTCGACTTGAGATCCGGACTTGAGCATGTGGCCATACATCATCCTGGCAGTTTTACTCTCTCAGCCAGTCACGGTAGTTTCGCTACGCCTCTCCGACAGCATCTCAACTATCCGGCCAATGATCTTGCAGAAATGACTGATATCTGGTCGTCAGCGAGCATGTGGGATCTAAACCTCGGGACGATGAGAGCTTAGCAGGCAGTGACCCGAAACAGTCTTGCTCGATGCGACCATAGTCTCATTTTCGAGGAAGCGACTAAAGACTGCACGACAAAATGGCCAATATGGTACTTGGGTCATCGAGATGAAAGTGCCTACCTCCTCATATGTAGATGCTTGTCTTTCTCTTGACAGTATATCATGGTATCGATACGCCCACTGTCTTTACGTTTCTACAATTCCTAGTATATGAAAATTGTTTCAAAGAATGGATGCCGAGTGCAGGGTATATACATAATGTAATCTAAGTCTTTTCGGAAGTCTGCCAAAAACACGAAAGTAGGTTATCGAGTGCGTGTCCCGGATCCCCCACTTTCAAACTAGAATGATTTTCGTGGCCGTAGTGGGGGTGAAGATTCGCTCGCGAATAGCTCCAATCCCGCCACCGAGAGGTGTGTGATGGGTACTCAACCCCAGAGACGAATTAAGAAGATCAATGGTGTGCGCTCCAGAGGGAATCCGGGTATGTCGAACTTAGACCTAAGAGAACATGATATAGAGAATGGCATAGAGAGTTTGATGTTCTATTCAATGTGTCAAAAGCGGGAGGTAGGTAAAGCAAGCAAGTTTATTTCGTTCAAGGAAGTATTGATGGTGGAAGATTGCTCGAGGATGGAGATAAGATACATATCTACAGGATGTCGATGATTCTTAGCATGACTGAACCGATGCAGATTACATATATCAGCGTGTCTTGCCAAAGATGTGAATGTGTGGCTCGGGCCCCGAATTTCTTCAACAAACTGTTCAAGGCTTGATATCTTCTTTCTTAAGAGCTTGGCTATGCTTGTTTTGACGTTGAGTTCCAGAAGGCCATGGGGCTAACGCAGTAGCCCAAGCCTTGCTCGAGGGATCCTGTACAATCGGAAGACGAAAGCGATGGGTTGATGGCAAGGAACAGACTGGAGGTTACATGCTCTTGAATGCACACAGAAGCGCAGCTCTCGCCTGCCTGAGCTACATGCCACTTGCCGCAGTAAGTTGTGGTCCCCGTGGCGAGAGTGATATTCTCTGGGGGAAAAGCGCCAGTAGTAGCATAACCTGTTCTCAGGCCTGGGTACAGTGTGTCCGAGATGCTGGCCGAGCCCAGCGAGTATGTACCGCCTTGAGGCGACAAGCAGATGACACTGCCAAGAACAGCTGTTGAGATGTTGAGATTGGAGCAATCCCAATTGATCCAGGGGTTGTAGGCCTTCAACTGAGAATCGACCAATTCGTTGGCAGCGCCGACGCTGTCGCAAGTATCGTTGGCCTGCAAGGTGTAGGTTTTTTCACACCGCAAAGGCTGACAAAGAGTCAGACTACTTGGGATAAACGAGCAATCGACAATATCCTGATTGGCGCTGAATAGAGAAGCGGACGCCACGTTGTTGCTTCTAGCTACGATGTCACAAGTGTCGCCTTCAACACTCTGATGGGAATTTCCGGAGACGCAAAAGGTCCAGTCTTGGGATCTGTGGTCACGATCGAAGCTGGTATCTGGGTGTCCCCCTTGATGCCACAGGATGAGTAGATAAAGTCCAACTCGGACTTGAAGTAATCGTCGTACGCGGAGTACGAGGATCGTTGCATCATCGCGAGTTTCTCGACATTGCAGTAAGAACACAATTCTTCCTGTAGGCTGTCAAAAATTTAAACTGGACAGGGTTATCTCCAAAATAATAGTCAACCTACCTTTGGCATGTCTTGTATGTTGTTAACTTCTGAGAACGAATCGATCACATCTGGTGCAAGTCAGCAACAAGATATTTAGAGGAATGAATGGAAAACTACCATTGCAGTATCTTCTCGAAGTTTGGTCAGTAACACACGTCTCGTTCCATGCTTCCCACATGACTCCTCCTGCTTTGGTAAGTTCGGCTCCAGTAACGTTCAGTCCTGCGCAGGATATGGCAACATTGTCATAGTATATCTTCAAAGATCGACTGCATGACGCTTCGCAAACGGAATTTGTCAGGTTTCGATCATTCAAAGGACCCCAATACCTTGCTTCGCCAAACGATCGAACGTAATCGTCGCACTGCACCTTTCCTAGAAGGGCGGTCTTACCGACTGTTGGAAGATCGTAATTGACAAGCCAAGCGGGATCATATAGAGTAAACCCAGAGAACTGTCGTTGACCTGTGATTTTATTAGATCCCCGAAGCCAGTCGAGTATCGGTGAACAATAACCATTCTTGTTATCTTTGGCGTATGTTGGGACAAGGTTGGTAGGGCTGACCATCTCGACTATTTGCCTTAGTGATGATATTGAAAAGCCATATATCTTCACTCTCTTCAATCTGAAGGCCCCGGTCTTGACAGTCCTCGGTTTTTAGACAATCTTGAGAATAGTCAGAGAACCAGCTGTAAAGGCCAGCCCCTAGCATATAGATCGTTTTGGAGTCCAATATACGCACAGCCCAGGATACCGCGCAAGATTTCGAGCTAGCTTTGCAATCTGAGAAAGTAGGGTCAGACGCAAATTGTCCCGTATGGAAAGGCGCAGGTGCCTTTGGAGTGACCTGATAGTATGGTGATTCAGTTTGTATCATGCCCATCAGGACGTCTTTGGCACCTGCAAACTGATACTGGTATAGTGTGCTATGCTCAGATGCGGTGCCATAGAGCCACATGAGTCCTTGACTCTCGACCAGGATACCGCGACCAGAGTATACATCCTAGAGGAACTGTTAGCATCGGTCTTGACCTGACGACTCTCCCACCTACTATTTGATCTTGACTTTTGACATCCAGATCGTGATCGGCTACCCAAATCCAAACGTTTTCCAGATAGGCTGAGGAGCTTGATTTGAAATGCATCAATAAAGAAGCAGTTTGGCAAGCTGGATTGACCGTCCTGTGAGCTTGGGACAGTCTGCAGCCTGTAAACGTGAGCCTCCAGCACCGCCCACACGGATATGGGTATCTTCAGTCGATAGTCAGCAAGCGTACTCCTCGTTTTGACCGAGAACTAACCCCACAATCCAGCTGAGCCCTGGGTAGATTCATGGACGTTCCATTCGACTAGGATAGCCCCAGCCGTAGGACTGTTCCGACTTAGCACAAGCTTACAAAAACATACCTGTAACTTACCCAGACACAGTAAACAGCATGTCTTGTATCTCGACACTTCCAATGTCACCATCTGATCCAACTTGGATGGCTACATGAGGGTTCGATGCATCTTCGAACTTTGGACCGGACGCCATGATTTGTGACCAAGCTTGGCCAACTATCCGTGTGCCCACGGGTATCTTGAGAGTGTCCGTGATCATGTAAATGCCGAAGGGAAAGTAAACCACGGACGACATGTTGGCAGCCGTGGCCAATACAGAGTTCAATACAGCAGTATCATCGGCGTACCCGTCTCCTTGTGCTCCATGGGCTTTGACATCTAGAACCTCGTATGCGCCAAGTTCAGTATAGCTGTTCGAATCATTAGCTTGTCGTTGATGGATCATTAATGCTTCAATTTACTAGGGACGACGTCTGGTAAAAAAAAGTATCTTCCGAGCAGCTCGGATGCAGGCTTAGAAGTAAGACTGACTGTGCGATTCATCGTGGGAATGTCTACAGCATTTGCAAAGAAATTCTTCCCCAAGGTATCAGTGAACATTCCGAAGCCCCATGAATTCTTGACCGCACTGTCGCTGCCAGCGAGAAGAACTTGATGTCTGGCATTGTCGACAACGGCATTCTTGACGTTGAAAAAACCAGTGTTCTGTATCAACAGAGAGGTCGAATTTTCGTCGAACAGAGAAGTGATAACACCTGTAGGTGTGTTGGCGATGATCGCATCTACAAGCACGAGTGAGCCGACTGATTGGCCTGTGGACATGGCTCCTCCGGCCTGTGTACTGGTCAGCATATTTCCTGATCGGTCTGTGAACATGTGAGTTTACGCACCCCTCCCACAACAACTATACCGGCATCGCAGGATTCGATAATTATGTCCTGCATGGTCCAGGCCCAGTCCCAGTGTATCTGCATTGCAACATCACAGTTGACAAATATCAGGTGACTGGAGGTAAGCTGCTGGTTGCCAAGATATGCTCTGCTCGATGTCAGTGATGCTTGCATTGTTGTGTGAGAAAACACACCCGAAGTGCCCACCGACGAACCTTGCGATTGACAAGACCGGCATCTGATAGTGGCGAAGCTGATCTTCATGGGTGAACTGATCTTTGAGATTGGTCATAGGACGTCTCTCGGTCCTTGAGCCGGAGGACGTTATCTTGTCAGCTTCTGTGGATTTGTACTAGTGTTGGCCGTCTCAACGGTGATGTCTCCAATCCTTCACTATGGGGTCCGATGCATGGTAGCTTGGATAGGTATCTGAAAAGGGCGGGCATAAGCTCAGTAGAATATCAGATCGTCAGGGAAGTTAGGGATCCTGTGTATACAAATTTTTGTTTGTCGATGCATAGCCACATCACCAGATGCATGACCTATCATAGTAACGAGAACAATTATTATCATTTATGTCAAAATCGACTCCGACGGCCTCAAATTGCACTCCAGCGGACACTAGATCAAGTGATGAGATGTTATTCTGAGACTGATTCGCAAATGTAAGAAGAATGCGTGGCTGTGAAGCCGAGAGTAATCTGCCTTCAGACAAACGAGACCCCTCACCCATGCTCCATTCCTAGCGCATCTCATCTTGTCAAAGTACGTGAAGCCGCCAACTTGCACCGAAGTCGTCGTCCAAGCACAATAGAATAATTGTGGCCAAGGCGCTGTAGACAGCTCTCGATATACCTCAACCTCAACACGAAGCTTCGCTTCGAGGCTCCTCTCTGAACGTATCATCGAAATTTCGCACCGAAATTCAGCCAGAATATCCCCCGAATTCGTGCAAAAGAAAGACTAATATGCTCAGAAGGGAGCCACAAATCTTCAATTTGTGTTGAAGCTTGCCGAGAATCAGAATGTGTTCTGAAGCATCAGATTCGGAGTTCAATCCATGGGGCTGGGTCATTTTTCGCACCTGCTATACGCCGGAATCCGAGAATTTGTGGCCAAACACGATCCGTCTCATCAATGCCTGGCTCGATCATAAAACCCGACTTGCTCTACAGAAAAGCGGCGAAGAAGACGAACATGAAGAAGTAATGGCACAACTCGACAATGTTCTCATACAAGATCCATCGCTAGAGAATGCCTCTTTGGACCAACTTCGTTCGCGCTTTGCAGCCTGGCTGGCGACTCAGGATACCAATGACCCAGACAGAAGCAAAAATCTTCCATTACAACGCTTTAAGAACTTCATTGTCATCGACAGCAGCGTGTTACAAAGCGCTATAAATGCACCAAATCCAGATAATAGGCAGGCCAAAGCAAGTGAGAGGATGGCGCCCTACGTCAAAGTCGTCGCGGCTCGGCACCTAGACGGGACAAGACTCCCACCTACAACGTCTGTAAGGTCTGGTCAGAATGCAGATGAGGGCAGACTCTTTCCAGGATTTATGAGAGTCTCGATCATCGAATTGCGCTTGTTTTGGGAGGAGAGCTTTTCATATGATGTGTTGGAGCTCTGTCCAAACAACTTTACCGACGAGCCTGATTGGTCAAAGCGATACAACATGTTCTAGGGAGCCTGCCGAATCGGTTGCGCTGATACATGTTCTCTCTACAGGGTCCAAACATCAGACCCAGACAATGCGCGATTTGCACCGAATTTCAGCTCGGACCCGGACTCAATCTGTTAAAAACTCTTTATAGAGTCTGTTTTTGTATCCCGTAGTTAAATGATTCATTGGTCTTATCAGGAAAGAATACTAGATTGTGTGCGGTAATACCGAGGAATCAACAGCTTCGTGCAACGTCTCACCTATCCTTAAGCGTTTCAAGCGTGTCAAGACGGTGGCAGACGCATTTACTGTTCGACCGATTGTCATGCTGCCACGCTAATCATGTTCTGATGACAAGCCACAGGACCTTGTATCTAAAGTTCTGCCGCGAATGGAGGTCTCAGCAAGCCCTTCTACTTCCTGGCATAGGAAACTGATAAGACCTAACTCTGAAAACATGTGATTACACTATCCGTCTTTACAGACATCAATCTCGGCCACTCTTTCACGTAGGGGAAAACTTGCCCAGAGCCGAAACAGACCTTTCATCGCTTGTTATGCAATTCGCTCAGGCAGACTTGCCGTGATACGAGCTTTTGTCTCGCAGCCAGTCTTTAAGGAACGTCGGCCAGTTGTGGTTTTGATAGCTATATAGTCACATGCAGGTGAGCTTAGCCTTACAAGAAATCGGTGTAATTCCTCTTTGTTCACCAATCCTATAAATCACAAGCCAATCTTTGCCCTCGAGAAGACCATTGTCAAGACTGCGATGAATTCTCTGTCCAATCATCTGTAAGGAGGACAGCAGTAGAGGATCTAGAAATATTCCTAAGTGCGTTTCGGACGCAAGAAAAACATTCAGTCGCTGGGATGGGTGACTTGGTTAGATTGTCTGGGGGATCACAGGAAGAGCTTCTAACCATATGTCTTGACACGACTTGATGCATTTGCACTTCAGTCACTAGTTTCTGGCTCAGCATCCGAAGTTGATCTTGCAGACATGTTGGTGGCGTCGTATGCAGGAGACGACAACGAGGCAGTATTGGAGTAGCGAGATTTTGAAGACGTGTTATATCCAGGTGTCGTGAACGAATAAGACTTGTTTCCTGATTCCAGGATTGCGGCGTGCAGGACGGCGGCAGCTCAGTCCGCGTCAACACAATCGAGCGGGCATCCGTATTCAGACCGACTTCCAGGTTGCTATCGGCCAGCAAACCAGAAACTTATCCCGAGATCCGGTCGTCGACGATACGGCAATCAGCACGGATGCCCAGTTCTCAGCTGACTGTGGCCGTATGTGCTTGAAGAATAGTTGTGTCAGTATATATAGTTTTACAAACGTCTACAAGGAGCAGCAAGCTGGACGTGTATGAGTATATTCTCGTAATCATTCACGTCCAAGTAGGCGATCATGACCACGTCGGCAGTTGTTGTGATTCTTTGCAAAAAGGCTAGCGGGATGCGTTTTATCTGTGTACACGGGCCTGTTGTACACTCAAAGAGGTTTATCTAGGCAAGATGCGTTTGTGATTATCCGATCGTGGTTTCGAATAAAGCACCAAGCAATAATGCAGCTATCTCTCGTCTTCTCTCTGTACTTTCCTCACGCCATCCATCATTCTCATGATTTCACGTCTGCCCCCTCAGTTTCTGACAAAAGCAACATTGTGTTCCTTGTACAACACACTCGAATCCAACAACTCGCCAGTATCACTCCTCAAGAAGTTGATCTGCAGGTTGTTCGCATCCTGGAAATTCAGCGTCGCATAACTAAACTCATCGCCGTACGCAAACACATTGGTCGAGTAATTGGCACCGACGGCACTCAAGCCTTCAATGTTGCCAGCTCCTCCTGCAACAATATATGCAGGAGCCTTGGGATTCTTGAGACCGGCAGTATCTGCAACATTGTTGTAGACGGGGTTGAAACGTTGAGAATTGTGGACGTGGCCGAAGATTCCCAAGTCGACACCGTACTTGTAGAACAGTGGTTCAAAGGCTGCTTGGCAAGGACCGCAGATGTTTTTGGAGGCGCCGGTGCTGTACCAGGGACGGTGGCCAGCTACAATGACCCATGGAGTGACAGTACGGTCGACAGAAGCCAAATCAGCATCCAAAAATTGGAGTTGTTGGGTAGGGGTTTGGCCAAAGGGACCAGCACCTAAACCAGCACTGCCGTCCTTGCCATCAGGTGCGGAGGGAAAGTCGGTCTCGGTGTCAATCATCACGATATGAGCCATTCCGTACTCGAACGAGTACCAGAAAGGTGGGTTGGCAAGTGCTTGGGCCTTCTTTGCTGATGCCTGAGCAGTGGCGTTCTTAGACGAAGAGGGGAAGGCAGTAGGCATAAGTCCCTTGAATCTAGTCATGAAGTCGGTGAAGTTCTTTTGACCTTCAGGGCACAAACCAGTGGTATAGGGAATCTCCGTGCAAGCGGCTTCGTGGTTTCCGGGTGATGCCATGTAGGGCTTTCTGCCTGCGATGGGAGCCAGCTGATCAAAGAAGTTTTCGAGAATGGCGGCGTAGGCATTTTTGCCGTCCAGCACGTTCTTGGGAGTGAGGTACCAGTCGTCTGCGTATGCNCTGTATTCGAGATCAGCATTGAATGAAAATGAGAGAGAACACTGGTGGCATACAAAGTCACCCGGGTGAAGCACAAACTCGTAGTTTTCAATCGTGCGAGCGAGTGCAGCAATAGTGGTGTGGTTCAATGCAGGCTCGATGTAAGGGATGTCACGTTTGCGAGATGTGGTGTAGCCATCTGCACCGTAGACACCAAGCNNTGATTGTTGAACTATATCAGCACAAAACTCAATAATTATATTCTTGGTCATTGCACTTACATCAACAACAACATCCAAGTTGAAGCTAGTCTTGTCTCCGGGAGTACGGGCAGTCTTGAACTGATTGACAGTCGAGTTGGTCGAGTTGATCTTGTAGTAGTATGTGGTAGCGGCATCAAGTCCAGAGAGTGTGACCGAGTTGGCCCAAGTACGAGAGGTACCATAAGTCAAAGACTGAGTGGAACAGGCTTGAGAAGTCAAGCTGTTGGCTGACTTGCCATAGTTTACACAACCTTCCTTCAGTTGCTGGTACGTGTTCCAGCCAACAGAGATGGCNTTTGATCATGTTAGCAAGATGCCGTCAAAAATTCCGACTGAGCTCTCGAGCATACCGTTAGGACCCTTGAAGGCGATGCGTTGTTGCACAGGAGTGGTCAAGTCCTTGGGAAGGCCAGGGAAATCTGCTGCAAAGACCAAACCCGACAGCAGAGGAAGAGTCTGGAGATAGAAAGATGTAGGGGCCATATTGACTGATCTTCACCACAATGGATGATCAGAGACAAGTACTCGTAATTGATATGATCTGCGATACAACCTTCATCCTTCGTGGCAATTGCGGTGCTTTATGTAGTGCAGTCACAAATTCATGCCATTGCCACCTACCTTTCTGGGATGATCGCCTTTGCCTTGCAACATTCGTACAACAAATGCCTCTTGCATGGGTCTAGAGTGAGTGCAAACAATCATGCTTCTGGTAGTAGTCGTCTTGTGTGACGAGAAAGACAACACGTGGGTTGTCCAGTCAAGCTTCAATAAGCTTGGGTTTTTGCTTAGCGAGGCACGCTTTACGCTCGAAAGCGATGATTGGCCAACACAAAACTCGGAAGAATGGACGATTGATCATCTGAGAAGGTCGTTCTTTGTACGCGTCGCTAGACGACTGGATAGACGGCATCTTGTGACTTGTGAGCGTGTCCTCGGCAGAAGACAGCCCTAAGCAAATTCATTTTGCGTACCTGTTGATCACTGCGAACACCCTTTCTCTAGACCACACACTTCGTTTTGCAATCCAAGCTTTTATACAGCTGCATGAAGCGATATATTTTGACATGCAATATGTGGCCGTAAAACGCAGACTATCTCCAAGAAGCAGATTCAGAAAATCATCTCGCAATTGAGATAGCCATGTTTCTAGAGCCATTGTGTTGTTTATCTTCCGATATTACTGTATAGCGCCGTGAGAGTAGAGAGGCTGATGTGATGAATTTCAGTGATGAGAAACAGGAACTCGTGTATCTGCTACAAATCTGCGTGTTCTCATCAATTCTCCATCATGTGACAAATTGCTATCCGCGACCGTGCCACTCGCTTCTGAGACCAGCTAACAGAGTTTCTCTCCAATTGGCGCCGTCGACTATACCTCTTCGCACTAGGCGCCTAACGGAGAAGTACCACTCAATACTTCTTTCATGTTTGTCGCACCTTAACGCTCGGAACAAGATATGATCCAGTTCGCGGACGATCTTGTTGACGACATCCACACTCATAGGGATTGTTGAACAGAGACACGTCCATTCAGTTAGAGCTTCGTGCAATTTCTGCTTCAATAACCAGGCAGTCAAGGGCGTAACCATACCTAACGTGTCGGACATCAGGTCATTCATGCCTTCTATGTCCTTTCCATCTGGGTCAGAGATTCGGATCAGAGGAAAGGTGTTTTTCTGGGGTGTGATGGAGACGCCGATGTTCATAAAAGAGGACCAGATATGTATTTGACCGCAGAGAGGCACGAGGTAAACCATGTCAGTATTGCAGAAGTGGTTCCAGGAGCGGAGTGTACCCGGCAAACATGACAGTGTTCTTCTGCCGGCGGTAACGAGAGGTCTGAAACTGAGTCGATCCATATCATCCAGACCATGTGTAAGCACTGAATTCTGGCCGTTCATAGTGGAGAGAGTCAACTCGAAGCCACTCATGAGTATAGGCAGAGATTCTTGACGTAGCTGCTTGCATACGGAGATGAGCGGGTGCGACAGCTTCTGCTCCCGACCTTGGAGAGATTCGAAAGTTGTCTCGAACAAGCTTTCATATATGATGAACCTGATCTCGAGCGGCAAGTTCAGAAGATGTGCTGATTGGGTTGAAGACATGGTATGGGACGAAGGAGCTGAGTTTGGGACGCCGCGATGTAGGCGAGTGAGAGGAGAAGAAAAGATGCCGAGGTATGATTAGTGTGCGACAAGAGGTATGTTATACTTAAAGCTTGAGTCATTGGTTGTGAGACAGGTTACCGGGAGATGCGTGCTTTTGCGCAAGTGTGGCCAAGGACAGAAGGCAGTCAGTGGCTGAGTAGATGTTGAGTGAGATGTGCATGTTGAAAGCACAACGAGACAAGCATGTTGGATGCACCCGGACGAGGCAGGCGGTATCGTAAAAAGCAGAGAGACAGGTTGAGATGTGTGTTGTGAGGAAGGAGCGTGGGAGGAGCCAATCAAAAGACATGTCTTTCGGCTGATGCTTCTCGCCTCACCGCCCAAACGTCATGGCAGTATAAACATTCGTCCTTATCCGGACAATCAACACCAACGCAAGACAAAGGCCAGTTATACAGCTTGCCATCTACGCCTGGTCCCGTCATACTCATCAGCAATACACCAAGATGGGTAAACCACGAGTAGGTGCAAACCAGAATAGGTGCCGACCAATGGGCGGCTAACTGGTCGCAGATGATCATCGTCATTCGCCATGCGCAGAGCGAAGGAAACAAAAACCGCGACATCCACCAGATGATCCCAGACCACCGTGTCAAGTTGACCGAAGACGGTTGGAAGCAGGTAACCCATCTCCCACCAAACCTACCAACAAGACAGAAACTCACTAGGCTGGNNCAGGCAGAGGAAGCAGGCCGACGACTACGAGGAATGCTCAAACCAGACGACACGATCCAATTCTTCACCTCCCCCTACCGCCGTACCCGCGAGACCACTGAGGGTATCCTTTCATCCTTGACCTCCGAGACCGAAGAAGAAGGCCCCTCGCCATTTCCCCGCCACACCATCAAGGTCTTTGAAGAGCCGCGACTGCGAGAACAAGACTTTGGAAACTTCCAGCCATGCAGTTCAGAGATGGAGCGCATGTGGCAAGAGCGCGCCGACTACGGTCACTTCTTCTACCGTATCCCCAATGGTGAGAGTGCTGCCGACGCCTACGACCGTGTCAGTGGCTTCAACGAGAGCCTGTGGCGCAACTTCAGCGACGACGACTTCCCCTCCGTCTGCGTACTTGTCACACACGGTCTGATGACAAGAGTCTTCCTAATGAAGTGGTACCACTGGTCGGTCGAATACTTCGAAGATCTTCGCAACGTCAACCACTGCGAGTTTGTCATCATGCAGAAGAACCTCGACAGCGGCAAATACGTCCTACAAAACCAGATGCGCACATGGTCCGAGTACAAGAGACGAGCCATCCCGCAGCACAACCAACAGGTCACAGCCAGCCAAGTCGCTTCGCCTGTCATACCTGCTCGCAAATGGGGCGGTTGCGTCGGCGGCTGCACACATCAACATTCAAAGTTTCCTCGTCGCATCAAGAAGCAAGACGAGGCGACAGCAAAGGTCCCCGATAAAGAACAAGAAGACCACCCCATCGCCACTGGAGAGGTCTCCATATCTTCAACTCCACTCAAGGCTTCAAGCACAGCAAGCACTACCGAGCCCAACTCTCCCATATCTTTCCGCCTTCCTACCCGTCCGAGCTTCCTTCACGGCCGTGACGGCGGCGGCTCACTCTCCGGCATGGCCACTCCAGCTGAAGGCTTCTCTGACGTCTCAGGCACCGAAAGCGACTACTTCGCCCGCATCCAAGAACACCACCGCAACCTCTCAGACGCAAACCCCAACAACCCCTCAGCCGCCTCATCTGCGAAACGCAGACCTACCGCCAAGGACCTCGAGAAATGGGGCCGGGAAAGCGGTATGGGAAGCGGAGCTCGAGCCGATGCGTTAGGAGACGGGGACAATGAGCACGACGAAAACGCCGATGGTGACGACGAGCACGACGATCACGACGAGAATGTCGTCAAGATGCACGAGCCTAGCGAGATCATCGAGGAGTTGAAGAAACAAGAGATCCACGACAGAAGTATCCAGGGCAGTGTTTATTGACAACAGTCCAAAGGCTGAAAAAGCATTTCACGGAAGAGGTTCTGCATAATGGAGTTTGGGTCTGCTGGCATTTTTACCACTATAGGGCTCTACGACTTTTTTTTTTATTTTCTTTATTATACCCAGAAATACTTTATTCTATTACTTCTCGCTTTTTATCGCCTTGACGTATATCAAACTTATTCCTTTCGCGTTGATTGTCGTTGGCCGCGACAGATGATCTGGGTTTGTGGTCACGATCAACACTTTCTTCACTGCCAGGAGAACCCTGCCCACACCTTCTTCTTACCCGCGCCGGCATCGAGGCAAAGGTCTCGAGTCCTTGGAGAAGACTCGTTCGTATCGAGCAGTGTCGACACAAGTGATGTCACTCACTCTTGGGTCAATTACATTTTTCACGATAATCTTTCATGTCGAGATATATCAACGACTGATCTGAGGCGAGGAAAAGGGTCAAATCGTGCTCTTGTATCAAAAACAAGTATCGTTAAAATCGAGTATATGCCCAACACCAGATTCTTCCTCGCCATTGAAAAAAAAAAGATCTAAAAAGAACCAACACATAAAGCAAGACACCAGAAGAAATGAACAACATATAAAGTCGTGAAGATCATGCTCCTACCACTAGATTCAAAACCCTTTTGCATGAGGTTTTCTCATCCATCCCAAGCCCAACTTTTTCATCTTGCTTCCTCCATTCTTCTCCAGAGCTCCACTACTGACACTGAGACTTCTCCTCATAATCACAGCGGGACCGTCGGCTGCGTATTCAGCGCCGCCTTCGACACTGCTTTCGGTCGTCACTGATCCCAAGCTAGTGCTCGTAGACTCTTTGCCGGGTGCTTTGGGAGGACGTCTGGTGGAAAGACGAGCACGTTGTTGAGATGCTAGCTCTGGATCCCATTTACGTTCTTTACAGCAGAGGGACTGCAGGTTTGCTTGCTCGAGCGCGGCGGCTATGCGGTCGCGGATGGCCAAGGCAGTGGGGCGATGGCTGGGATCTGGCAGTAGCATGTCTCTGACTACGCCCAGGATAGGTACCAAAGCCGATAGCACATGCACAGTTGGCGAGAGCCGGATGGCGTCTGATGCGAGATGAGCAAGCCAAGTATGCAAGGTGGCCGTATCGGTAGGCAAGGGCGCCTTTGCCTGTGCTCGGAATTTTTGGAGGTCGGAGAGCTTGCCTTTGACAATGTACGTGACGAGGTCTAGATATACGCAGCCTAGAGAGAAGACATCGCTTTCGAAACCTTTATCTTGGCGTGTGGATGTCGTCGCAGTGTTACTATTGAGTGACCTCTGTGATGCAGTCTTGCGTATGACAAGAGGTTTGGGAACACTCAGTGGTTCATTCAAGAGCTCGGAGAGCAGACTGGATGGATCGGATGGGGTACTGGAGGTAGGGCATGGTGTTGTACCCCAAGAAGCCCATGATGGCCTTCTGTCCGCTCTTATCGGTGTTGGATGCGAGGGCCCAACATCATCAGGAGAGAAGAACTTTCGATCTCCATCAGGAGGTGATCCGTTTAGTGATGATGGAGGACTGTTCGACTTGCGGAATAAGCGTCGGGTTTTGCCTGAGGTGGGGGACCATATACTCGCAGAGGCGAACGTTGGTGGAGGAGGTAGATGTCTACTGAAGTTGCGAAACAGTGGTATTGGTGGAGGTAGAGAAGGATGGTTGAAACTATTCATCGGGCTGTCAACCATAGGGCTAGAACTGTGAATGAGTATAGGATTCGAAATCTTTGGTGGACTCGAGGAGGATAACGAAGTTCCACTCAAGGTACTGTCGTCGGAGCTACGCTTAATGTCGATTGGACTGCTCAATGTATCGGCAAAGTGGACGCCGCGCACCTGTTCCTCCACATGTGTCTCGGGAGCAGAGTAACTCAAGGCTTCATTTTTGATGAACTTTTTGCCACGCTGGAATGTCCGCAAACCACCTATATCAGAGAATGCGATGCAGTTGTCATGATCGATGAGAATGTTAGACGGCCGTATAGCGCCATGTAAGACACCATTGTGATGAAGCATAGCGAGTGCATCAATCAGACAATGCATCCACTCTAGCAATATGATAGGTCGTTCGGCTTGAGGTACACGCATGAATTGGTACGGCGTCCGATGAGCAATGAACGATGCCAGTGTGTGCTCTGGCACAAAATCAGAGAGAACGTAGCCAGCATCTCCAGCGGTGTAAGACGCCCACACTCGAGCAATGTGGGGATGAGCCAGCCGTCTAGACTCTGTAATATCTTGCATATAAATTTCGCTCAAATCATCTTTGTCATTGCCGGTCCCAAACGCAAACTTGCGTCTAACAAAGACTTGTTCATGATCTTTGGGGAAGTGAATCCTGTCCCAGCTTTGAAGCGACACAGCTGGAGGTACCTTGTGAACGTACTCCATGGGAATATGTTCTTGTGGCCCGTAATCGATATGGCCACCCTGCCCTAGCTGGCGCAAGAGGTACAGGAACTGAGTGGTATGAAACTTTCGATTCAGGCGCTCATCCGGCTCGACACAAAGATCCATGTCAATAATACTCTCAAAAGAGAATGGTAGATCATCGTCATCCAGGGAGTCATCTATCAGACCGAGGATCTGCTCTGGCTTGCCAATCTCTGCCAAGATCAGGAACAGTCGCCTTGCTCGACCCAGGATCCATTCCATGTAGGTGTCATCTGTCAAGCCTTCGCCGAACGCAAGAGGTTTGTCCAAGAAACCCCTCTCTTCTCCTTTGATCTGTGATACGACGAATTTCCTTGTGACTTTGCTGTCGATGCGATCCTCCGTCCACCAAAGTTGTTTGAGAGCTGCATGCGGCGTCACCAAAGAGTGGCCTCCATAACCGTAGATGTAGGCGTTGAGTGCTATAGTTGCCGCCGTCGGAGGAACTTGAGCATAGCTTATGGTTCCCATTGTAGGCACATAACCTCGAGTTCGGCCTCGAACGGGTTGGTGGGTTAGCTGGTCGCAGTGGTGTTCGTAGCGGGAGCGAAGTTTTTCGGTCGCGGTTTGTTGAAAGTGGCAGAACGTGAGCTTGGTTGACACAAGATGTCCTAGCTTTTTCCAGAAGGAATGAGGTGCAAGCGATCGATTGGAGCTTCAAGAAGCGTGAGTGATTGAGAACGGTGTGCTGATCCGCTGGCATCGTGAAGGGAAGTAAGACTCGGATAGCGGTGTTGCATGTTTAGACGGATGGTGCTGCCCTGCGAGATACCAGACAATACTCAGTACATGTGTGAATCCGCCGAGGTTGTGTAGCCACCCATGTCGTACTCAGAAGAAAGCAGGCGCCTATCTGCAGGGTTCACCAAGATGGGAGGCTGACGCCACCATGCTACTGATTCAGCCAACGATGGTACTCGGCAAGAACAAGTGACCCGGTTGGGCTACAGTGCCTCAGGGCGACATTCATCCAATAAGAATATCGCGAGGATTGCTTTGCTAGATTGCGGTAGTCGAATCAAAACACCCGAAAGCAGGTTGAGGAGAGGATGATTCTTGGATTTGGAATATTGTGTGCGAGTTGTGATGCCGGACGACTAAAGGAGTTACGTGTTGTGTGACGATGGGCTTACTGCCCACGTTTTCTGCCGATTCCAGGCACCAAAGAGGGAATAGGTTGCGTGTCACGGGTGAGACGGCCGTGGACGTGCGGTCAGTCATGGACTTAAGCCCAAGTCGTACACATGATGAGCACTCTGGCGGGTAGACTCGTGCCGTGGAATGGGTTGTGTTGTCCCTAGCTGGCATGTTACAAGTCGACGAAGCATGTCTTGGGAATAGTCGGTAATATGTGGCAAGCGCATCTCCACTCGCGGCGTACCTGACAAGTCATTTTATGGAAAAGTGTCGGCCAGGAACTGCTTACGGGACTCGGTCCACGACTGGTGAACATATGTACAGCCCATGGTTTCGGAGAGTTTGTTGACAAGAATACCAGAAAGTGCGACAAAGTTTGGCTTCTTGGACCCGCAATGGCAGGCGTCTGAAGCTGCCTGTCAGAGCAGCATGAAATTACTCCGGTTCGTGCAGCGTGTCACGGGAAGGAGCTCATGACGAGATTCCGGGCCTGGGCAATCAGTCTCTCGTCATCCTGATTATCGCGACGAGCAGTAGAGGAGAAGAGACATGAAGAATAACGTCGTATCAATTGCAGGGAGCATGATGATACAGCTTGTACAGAGGTTGTCGGTTCGATCAAGTAATATGTAGAAACACCTCCGCCAATTCGTACGAAACAAACCAAAGAACCCTTTTGGACAGGAACAAATTCAAGAAACCGCTCTTTTAGACCCCACGACCAGCGACTCCGGTACTCCGACCATGATGATGGCGCCCACATGCAAACATAAATGGCAACAGAAAAGAGACTAAGAGAAGAGAAGACACTGGAAGTCTAGTCCTTGCTCTTCTTCTTCTTCTTCTTTTCCGTCTTGTCCTCGTCCTCGTCGGCCTTTCTCTTCTTGGACGATTTGCCAGCTGCTTCGGCGGCCTTCTTGGCCTCCTTTTCAGCCTTCTTTGCCTCCTTGGCGGCCTTCTTTGCTGCCTTTGCTGCCTTCTTCTGCTCCTTGGTCATCTCTTCTTCCTCGTCGCTGGAAGCCTCGGCACCAGCCTCGGTGACATCCTCCATCTCAGCGTCCTCGTTGGCGGCAGGGGCGTTGGCGGAAATACCGTCAGCATCGGCGTTGTACTTGCGAGCCTCCTTGACTTCCCACTTGGCAGGCTGAGCCTGACCGCTGGGTGCGACACCGGAAGCAGTGCTGCGGATGGGCTTGCCCTCGAGACCTCTCAATCTTCTCTCGACCAAAAGTCTGCCCTGAACACCAACAGCCATCTTCTCCTCCTCGGTAGGCTCAGGCTTGTCACCCTCGCCAGAAGTTCCCCAGTCGGAAAGAGCGTCAACACGCAGACCAAGGGCGGCCTTGGTAGCGAGCATGCGAGTAATCTTACCCTTGTTCTTGCCAGTCGCCTGGCCGATCAAGGAAGCGTGGTAGATAAGACCGTACTTGGGTGTGTCGTGCTTGGTCTTGAGAGCTCTGAAAAGGGCCTTCTCGGCACCGAGAATCTGGATGGTCGAGGCGGGGGACTTGGCCAAGTTGAGGAGCGAACCAGAGTGGGCGATCAGGCGAGCACCAACAAGCTCACCGACGAGAGCGGTAAGGTTGGGGGCAATGGCCTGCATACGGGCGGTGAGGTAAGATGAGAGCTGCTGTCTGTACTCGGTAAAGCCAACAACCTGCTCGGCGAGAGCCTGGATGTTGTCCAAATCCTCCTCGGTGATCTCAGTACCCATGGAAACCTCGGCGGCGGCCTTGACGGCGCCCTCGATCTCCTCGGGAAGAACATCGGAAAGGTCGGTGGTGGCAGCGTTGGTACGGACACCCATGGCAAGGATGACGCGAGCGAAAGCAAGGTTGTCGTTGATGATCTTGGCCATCTCGGGGAAGTGCCAGCCGTACCATTCCTTGACACGCATAGCGTAGGTGTTGAGCTCCTTGTCCAGGTCGTCGAGCAGGGCAATGGCCTGGATGATCATGGTGTCGACCTTGTCGGGGGAGAACTTGAGCTTGTGGCGCGAGAGCGAATGCGACAGACCGAGAGACATGGTAGAGATGTCATCGGGCATAAGACCGGGGATGAGCGAAGGAAGGTGCTCACGGATGGCACGGTAAACGTCGTTGGTGGAGGAGTCGGCGATGCACTCAATGTCGAGCTTGGGCAGCTTGCTGATGGATTGACCGAGCTTGGGGTCGGCGACGGCAAGCTGGACCTTCTTCTCGTCCTTCAGGGTGTCGAGCAGCGAGGCAAGCATGGGAGTGACCTTGCCATCGGTGAGAGCGGCGGCCTCCTCGAGGGCAGCGGCGGCGCTGTCGAACTTTTGGAACTGCTTGAGCTTGAGCCTGGAGAGGAGGGATTAGTGCGGGACAGAGTGAGAGACAATGAGTAGTTCGTACAGGCCAGCGGCACCNTCGGCGGTGGCAGCCTCCTCGTGGACGTCGGTGCGCTTCAAGAGCTTCTTGTCCTTGGACTTGAGCAGCGCATAACCGGCCGAGGTTTCTGTGAGGATAAAGAGAGTCATCGTGTCGGCGGAGTCTCGTGGGCCGTGATTAGGATTGTCGAGAGTCGCTGGACGAGAATAGACGCGACGTGTGGATGGTGGGCTCGACGACCTTTTTTCCAAAAACCCAAGACTTCAGCTTGGTGCAGGTTCTTGTCGAGAGACCAAAAATTTCGACGGCCCGGTCCGGCTTTTTCTTCGGCTGACTCCATCGTCGACCGGCGTTAGCGCGCGGAGCTCCAGCCTGTCTGGCCAAGCACAGGACCAACGAGCAGCTTCAGCACACAACCATGTAATACTAACACTTCCTGGCGAGGCTCGGCCTGGCCTCTGTCCTCACACATCTCCAATGGCCGCTCCGGACTACTTTGCCCGCAAGCCATCATACAACCGCTCTCGCTCTGGCCTGGCTGTCCCTGGAGTCACTACCCCGGCTTCACCGCACACGCCGCTCTTGACCCGCTCTCTCTCCTCTCAACTTGGTTCGCCCGGAACTTCGTATCGCGCCGAGGAAGACACCCTCGTCTACGAGCTTGGTTCGAGATCCTTCCGTGCAGGATTCGCTGGCGACTCTGCTCCAAGATGCATCATCCCCTTTGGCCCTGATCAAATGCGCCGTTTGAACGACTTTATCACACCCACAACCTCGCCCTCCCAGAATGGCTGGGCGAAAGACTGGGAGTTGTGGGACTTGGATGTTCGCAACATGAACCTCGGTCTAATTGAGGACAAGATCGAACGTGCCATACGAGGTGCCCATACCAACTACCTCATGCTGGATCAACGGCCTCGCAAAGTCTNNTTTCTTGTTCTGCCCTCCGCCTTGCCTCATCCACTCGTCTCTCTCACCTTGAATGTCGTTTTCAATGCCTTCCAACCCGCGACTGTTCAATTATGGACACCACCTGTCCTCTGCGCCGTCTCCGCTGGTCTTCGCTCCGCCTTGGTCATCGACATTGGTTGGCACGAAACAACTGTTACCGCTCTGTATGAGTATCGCGAGGTCTTCCACAGGACATCAATCCGAGCCGGGAAACTACTTACTCAAAGTATGGCCGACACCTTGCGTAAACGCGCCCCTTCTTCCGCTCNNTCTCTCCCCTTCGACACCGCCGAAGATATAGTCATGCGCATGGCCTGGTGTCGCAACTCGCGTGATCAACACTTCGCCGACAGTGTCACTCTTCCACTTGAGTCTTTATCATTACAAATCCCATTCGAGACCCTAGCCGACCCAGTAGAAGAAACTTTCTTCTCCACGTCTGTTTCACTCGAGCAAATTGATGACCACGATCTGCCTCTGCATCTTCTGGCATACAAATGCTTGCTATCCCTCCCACTAGATGTACGTGCAATCTGCGCTTCACGCATCCTCATCACTGGTGGTGTAAGCGACATACCAGGCCTGGNNAAACCCCGTCTGTTGCGAGAGATAGAAAACATTGTCAACACCAAGGGGTGGGACCCAGTCATGAACTATGGCTCGGCTGCGGAAAAGAGGCAGCTCTCATCACAGCAACAAACGATAGCTTTGCCGACCAGGATCAAGCCACCTGATGTCACTGACGATAAGCATGTTGCCTCTCAACCGGATGAGCAACCATCGGCTCGCCACGTGCCGCAAGAACGCGATGAGGTCGCCGAAAAGCTACAGCGTGAAGCGCTGAAGCGCGGTATCACCATACAAGGTGAGGTGCGTGGCGTGGAGACTTTAGGTGCTTGGGCAGGAGCTTCACTGGTTGCAAGTCTTAAAGTGGATGCTGCATTTGAGGTGAAGAGGGAAGACTTCTTCAAGAATGGCCTGAGTTCATTGGGTCACACGTTTTAGATGCTTTGGTGGTAGGGAACACGATTGTTGAACTTTTAAAATGATACCCTGACGCATTGAGCTCTCGTTTGGTACCTGCAGTGATGCAAGTAGTTGTATCCAACATTTCTCCTAGGATGTTCGAATGCACTTCCTGCATCTGTGACGTTTACTTGTGAGGTATAGTCCTTGGGATGAAGTGCTGGCACTTGTGTGGAAGACTCCTTGGCAGCACGCGTCGACCACCAAGACAAATTTGTTGGCTATGGTTTCACCACGCAAACAACGACCGTTGATCTTTCCCCTGATCACGCCCGGTGGAACTTTCGGTGATAGATTTCCTGAAAGTCTGTTTATCGGACCATCCAACATTGGGTTACTCATGTTTGCGTCTATCTGGTCTCCTATAGGCTGGAACCGTGTCTTGGAGCCCCGTCTCGTTGAGCTCAATTTCACTTCGATCACAAACTCGACATATCGAGACCTTCGACATCCTGGCACGCGAACTCAATTTTTGTACCATCGTCCAATTCCAGCTGTAGTACGAGGTACATGTCGTCAGTATTGAAAGTCGAGGTCTCCGGTATTAGTAAACATACAGAAGCAGGTGTATCACTGTCGAAGATGAGTTTGATGTCCGATTGCATCAAGCCGTTCTTCCTTTGCAAAGACAATCTCATTGAAGACAGCACTGTTCTGTTTTGTCGAACTTAGGCTTGAGCAACCCGACGAGCTTTTTGAATGGCATGGTGCGACGCATCTTGATCTGAACGTCCTGTGGTGAGTATCCCTCGCGTGAGCTTACTTCTAGCAAGAGTGTGACCGTGGGCTCTTTGATCTCTGTTCAACTTGTCCGACAACATGTTCGAAGACGACGAGACTCTCGCTACTTCTACAACCGGCATGATGACTCCTAGATTAGCAAGCATTCACTCGCGAGGGTCTTCCCGAAACTGACTGTCAGAAGACCATGACTCGCTGTGCGACCAATCCATGCTGCTGTATCAGCAATGTAGACCGTCCAGGAAAATATGAGAGTATAATTTGGCTCGACTCGAGATCAGTTGATCCATCATTCCAGAGGTGGGGTTAACTTTCTTGAAGGTCACAGTATGAGCATGAATTCGACTTCAGCGTCGTACGACTACGCGTTTCTTCCAGCAAGATCCATGCTAGTCGCGTGTTGCGTTCATTTGGGACCCAAACACAAACATCTCAAGAACTACAAAGCTTCCCATCTCAGCTGCAGAAACGGAACACGGCTTCCATCTATGTTGGAGAACACCTCATCTCGACCATGAAAGACGCTTCCGAGTGTGACTCCCGCGATACAAGCTCAGATGACTTCGTAGACGTCCCGGCACATCGGCGTTCAGAGGGCGACGGCACTCCAATCATCCCTCGCACCATGGCGTACGACCTCAGCTTGCACCCTCCAATCATGGCGTACGATCCCAATCTGGACCCCCGATACAAGATCCTCCGTGTAAGTGGAAACTTGAGGATTGATATGCAGATAGGCACTGATTCCTCAAGACGGGACAAAGACCAGGATATGACGAGTGGATTCCAGCCAGCGCTCTGACTGGCTCATTCCCACTTCACTCGACCCAGGATGATACCATCACCCAATTTAGATGCTTCGAGGATTATGCCAAGAGTGCTCAAGCAGAGAGAGATTTCGCCGAACGCAAGTGCGAGGAGATCCAATTCGTTGCTATCGCAGAGAAGGAGCGTCTGCAAAAGCACTTGAGTACGCCAACAACGAGAGAGCTTTGGCAAAAGAAGACCTCGAGAGCATGAGATTTCTCAGAGACCAAGACAAAGCAGACTTAGAAAGTCTGAGGTCTTTCAGAGACAGTATATCGCAGGACCTCGCGGAAGCGAAGGCGCAACTCGCCGCGATTGAGTCTCAAAGGATCGACCCTACTTCTTCTTGTCAAACATGTCGCTGTGTTGTCGACGAAAACCTCAGGGTTCTGTTCAAGAACAAAGACCTGGAGGCTCAGCTCGAGCAGTCCGCTCGCGATGCTGAGAAAGCTCAGGAGTCGATCGCTGGAGGTAACAATACCTTTGCTGTTATTGACAAAGTGATTGCTAAGCAGAGGACAGAGATCGCTGAGCATAAAGCAGAGGTCGATGAGTACAAGGCAGAGATTGCTCGCTTGAGAACCAAGATTGCTGAACTTCAAGTGTCAGAACCTTCGTCTGACAGTGTTGAAGAGAAGGAACGAGCCCATGAAGGATCGATCGAGCACTCAGAGACTGTCGAGCACTGTAAATGTTACTGTCCACTTATCATGCGCATTACGGTGTGGGTGGGCGGAGCGAGCGGGAAAGATACCGACCTTGCCCTCGTCAAGATGGATCCAGACACACCATTCAAGGCAGTTCTGGAAGACATGCGTCGTCATCATCCACTCAAGGTTTTGCGTCAGAAGTCAACAGGGAGATATATCTTCGACTCTGATACTCCCTCTGATGTGAGTATCTTGTTATCTTTTCGCAGTCCATGTCTCTGGGCTGACGATCTCCAGTTGGCGATGAAAAACGAAGAAGAATTGGATTTCATCCAGGAATGTGGAGAGCCATTGTACATGCTGGACGCTACCACGGATGGTGCAAAGTCTTGGAGAGGTAAGAACAGCAGGATTTGATGGAGCAAGTCCGAAGGGTGTTATAATATCCCAGTAAATGTCGCGCAGAGTTATTGGGTCCTTGTCTGCACAAATTGTTGATGATAGGCGTTACGGACTGCTTTTACTAAAAAGTTCATTCCAATCAGTGTTCAGTCGTCATGTATAAGCCGAGGACAACGTGGTACCTGAATAGATGGCAATTATCCCTCATAGATGTTGCCGTATTGTGACAGGAATATGCTGGGTCGTTGTATGGTTGGAAGGTAGATTCTTCTTGAGAGTCAAGCAAGTCGTCGAGGTTTGGCTGTTGATAGGATAGAATCTAATAGCAAGTCTGGCGTCGTATGTTGCCACTCAACCTGTGGAAGTTACAAATGATGGATCGCTTGCCTAATTACGCTTCAAAACAGCGATTGAACACCAAGACGGAAGGACCGTCCGAGACTTGCAAACGTCAGCGTTGATGACAAAGTCAAATTACATACCGCTATTCAGGCCTCGCGACACGGGTATACAAAGTCTATATAACATAAGAAGAACAAAGATACAATTATACACAGATTCAACTTCTTCACTCCTCGATTCGATGAACCAAATATCAACCCTTGAGATCGCCCTTCAGCCCACCTTCACCACCGTGTGTGAATCTGTAAGCAAAGGTGACGGTCACAGCAGCGAACAGAAGAACACACAATATACTAGGGCCCCACTTGTCGTGGTAAGTAATTGCGCGACGGCTGCGGATCGATTGCACACGGTAGAGGTACAGTCCCATGCTGTAGCAGATCGCAAACAAGGCGACAATGGTGAAGGCCCAGGCAGAAGCCAGAGCCGTGGTGTCACCGAAATTAAGCAGAGTGGCAGCGATACTGCCGATGATAATGCTGAACTCAAGCTGCGATATGTGTCAGTATAGAGCAAGAAAGCGGAGATATAGACGAGAGGTGCTTACCCATGACAGAAAGGTGCGCTCAGCTGCGAAGAAGACCTTGGGCTCAACACGCACTGGCACGTGGATTTTCTTGCCCTTCGGTGCCTTATAACGCTTCTCGCGGATATGGTCATTGTTTCTGGCACTCGGAATACCCATCGAAGCGTCTCCATTCGAAGGCATGGCAGTAGGTTTAGGGGTGGGTGCAGCGAGTCTGAAAGCGGTTGCCAGCTTGTCTCCGACCTTGTCAGCGTAGTGTGTCAACAGCTTGCGACGATATGTCCAGCCGCCGATGCGTTTCGCTTCCTCAAGATCATCATCCTCGTCATCACTGTCATACAGTGGGTAATCTTCTTCGTCGGTGATGGGTCTGGCGGCCAGACGCTCTTCCTCGTCCAGCGAGTTGGTGTCGGCGCCACCGTTAGTGGTGCCGTAATCCATGCGCTGGGCAACCTCATGCTGCTCGAGAGCATCCCTAGCAGCCCGCAGACGACGATAGTTCTCATCATCGCCGTTGGGTAGGTTGGCGGAATCTTCCATCTCATCATCGGAGTCATCGTCCATCTGCCCACTGGTGGAGATATCTGTGCTTTGCCCAGGACGTTCGATACCGAAGCGATGCGAGACAGGCTTACGGATGTCGGTGTCCATCTGAGGCATCCAGAAGGGCAGCAAGTCAATACGGGTAGGGTTGAGGGTTGCGGTACCGTGGATGAACTTGGAGAACTTGGGCACGGCTTCCACCAAGTGAGATGCGACAAGCTCACGGATCCACTCAGGAGGCTGTTGGCCAGCCTGTGTTTGCAGCTTGACCTCAAGAACAGCGTAAGGGAAGCGCTCGGCGTCCTCGGCAGGTAGTTGGCCGAAGGGCCAATCGATGCCGATATCCATACGTCGCCAGTTCTTGCCGGCACGTTCGCGTCCATCAAGGTTGTCCTCACGAGTCATGGTCAGCTCAGTATCGAGCGAGACACGAACACGGGCATCGCCAGGCAACTGAAACGCGGTACGGTTGTAGAAAGAGCGGGTGACGGGTTGGAGCTTGCGGGTGATGACACGGTATTGGATCTCTCTGGCGAGTTGCTCAAGATCGGCGATTTCCTTCTCGCTCTTCTTGCCATCACGGCGCATCTTCTCGAAAGCCTGCTCGACGGTGTAGTCGCCGCGCATGAAAGCGTTGACATTCTTCTCCTTGAGTGCGAAACGAGCCTTGACCGACTTCTCACCGGTCCAGTCTTCTCTGTGTGTTTTGCGCTCAACGAAGATGGTGTCAACATCCATATCGCCGTACCATCTCAGACGGATGGCCTCTGCACCCTCGGTCTTCTTGAGACGGCCCTCGTACAGCTCCCAGGTGTCTGTGTTGTCGTAGTAGATGGATGAAATGGCCGAGTCCTTGATCTCAAATTCCTTGCTGGGATTGAAGACAAGCACGGGCAAGTGCTTGAGGATGATGAGCTTGAGCTCGGTAATGTTGTCGGGATGGACCCAGTATTTTGTCGTTTGGCGGACGAAGTTTTGCTGGCTGCCACCAGCGGACGAGTCACCCTTGGTGGGGTTGCCGCGGGTGCGGACTTGGTCGTAGAGCTGCGACAGACGAACAATGGAAGCGTCGTAGTTGTCCTTGAAGAAGGGCTTTGCATTGAGACGAGCGGCAAAGAGAGGCTTCAGCTGCTGGTCAGGGTAGAGCTTGTCGTGCTTCTTGATGATCTTCTGGAAGCCAGTGTAGTTGAGCTGGGTGAACTTGGCCAGGTCGTGGACGTCGGCAATGATGTCGGACAGGTCTTCCTCGAGCATGGCAAAGTCCTCCTCGCTAGGGACCTCCATGTTGGATTGCTCATTCTCTCCTTGTTGCAGGGCGGCCTTTGCGCGGGAGATGACCTCTGTGACCTCGCGCTCGCTGATGTTGATGCGGCGCTGGATCTCGCCGCTCTTGACCTGCTGGAAGTTGGAGACCTTGTCCAGCTCGGCCTCAAGCTCGCGGTAGAAGCGGGTTTCGTGTTCGTCGGTCCATGACTTGTCGGGTTCGTCGGCGTTCTCGGCGGTCGACTTTGACTTTGTTTCGGGCTGGAGAAGTCTCTTGAGCTCGTCGTAGGAGATGTAGTAGTAGTACCAGTCCTTGATCAGGGAGCTCTGTAGCTGCTGGCCGAACCTGTCGAGCTGGATTAGCTGTTGTTTGCGTTGGGTGGGGCGTGCTGGCAGCCGTCGTGTGCTACTCATACGCACTTCATGATTGTCTCTGCTGACGCTTCCTTGCAGCAATTTGCAGTGTGGAAACAATTGCTTTGTCGTACGGCTCCCTTGCAGAATTGCTATGCCAGTCGCTCAACTGAAAAAATCGTAGACGAGATGCGCAATGCACGATGCGCCTTCGAACAATAAATTGTGACCTCTCGAACTGCTCGTGCCACCAGCCAATCAGCGGTCGCACGTGTTTTGGACGTGGCCGCCTTGCTTACCCTCGCTCTCCACTCTTTGCTGTCCCCGAGCGTCATCGAGACAACCACAGCCAACGAGTGACATCCTCCATATTGCAACACTTGTACGCCTATACACATCTTCAGGACGAAAATTTGCAAGTCTTTGTTTGCATCACAGTTTTTTCGTTTTCACTTGTTTGTAATTTCCTTATCCACCTTATGCATAATCCCATATCAAGCAGAAACCAGTCCTTGCCCTGTCTAGTCGTGCGAATTCGTTGCCCGATAACCATCGTCATTCCCATTTTCCTTTCCGGATCCCACACCATATGCCAAACCCCATTCGTTAATCACATTTGCGCGACCTATCATTCAATGACTGGCTCGCTTAAGAAGTGTAGGTGGCGTAAGTCTGACCGAAGCTCGAGGGCTCGGTACCGCTGAGAAGGGCGCCGTCACCAGCCATGAAGTAACTGTAGCGCTCGACAAAGGACTGGCTGTCCATCCAGGGCATGACGTCCTCGAGGAAAGTGGAAACGTCAGAGCTCGAGGGATTTTCAGTAGGGGCGAACTCAGTAACCCAGACAGGCTTGCCGCCAGCAACATCGGTGGCATTCTGGACGTGCTCCTTGAAGTAGGCAGTGTTGGAGGCCTTGTCATACCAGTGAATGGTAACGAAGTCGATCTGGCAGCCATCGCAAGCCTCGAGGAAAGCGGCGAGCCAGTTGAGACCCATGCTGCCACCACCGTTGGTAACGGCAGGNGCACCAAGCTTGGCCTTGCCAGCGAAGGGCATCATCCAAGTCTTGTAAGCAGAGGCGGCGTCCTGGGGAGACAAGTTGGCCTGAGAAGTCATGTCAGGCTCGTTGAAAGACATCAAGTGGGTAGCACCATTGGCGATGGCGCTGGTAGCACGCGAGTTCCAGACGTCGGTGTGGCCGTTGGTAAGGCCCCAGAGGAGAGGAACATAGTTGAAGCTGCTAGACAAGCCGGCACTGTCGGAGTCCCAGTTATAGCCCCAGCTAACCTGGTCATTGTTCTCGAAGCAGGTGAGCAGAGAGGCAGTGTTGTAAGCAAGACCACGCTTGCCGTTGCCAGTGCTGCTAGACTGGGGGACGACCGAGGACGAGGTCGAGGAAGCCTGAGCAGACGAGCTACTGACAGCGACGGCAGAAGTAGGAGCGACGACAACGCTGGAGCTGGAGCTGGAGCTGGTCGAGACAGGAGCAGCGGAAGTGGTGCTGGTCGAGACAGGAGCATCGGAAGTGGTGCTGGTCGACTGAGCAGCGGCAGCGGGAGTAGAGGTGGAAGTACGAGTCCACTTGTGGTGACCCTTGTTCTGAAGTTCAAGATCAACCGAGGCGAAAGTACTGCTGGCGGCTTCAGAGCTGCTGAAAGTGACCGAGGAGCTCTCGACAACGACAGATGTGCTGAGAGCCACAGAGCTGCTGGAAGCAACGGAGCTGGCCTTGGTGCTCAAAGTGGTCTGGGCAGGAGCAGACTCGGCAGAAGAAGCGTGAACGGTCACGAAAACACGGTTGGTGTGGGTGATGCTCACAACAGAGTCGGTGCAAGTGCTGGTAGAGATAGCAGCGACCTCAGCGGAACCGGTGTGAGGGCCGACGGCAGAAGGGTGGACGAAAGAATGGCCAGAAGCCAGACCAGTGGATGCAGCGGCGCCAGTGCCCCAGATGCCAGTAGCATTGGCCATGCCGTAAGGAGCGCCAGTGCCAGTAGCAACGCCGGAAGAGCCGAAGAAGTGCTTATTGTGGTGATGGTGCTTGCCGTGGTGCTTTCCATGGCCGAAGCTAGGGACAGCAACGGCAGAGCCGGCGAGAGCCAGGACGGCGAACTTGATGTTGACAGAAGACATCTTTTCAAGAGTAGTGATGAGAAGGATGGAAAAGTTTGAAGATCTTGCTGTGTTTGGAAGGTCGTAAAAAGTGCTGCTGCTAGAGCGCCTTGAACAAAAAGCCTACCAGGGCTTGAGGGTTGCTGAAAGAAAGAGAGTGGTGTCTGTACAGACGAGAGAACGAAACGAGCGAATGCTCTTGAACGAGAGTGGACGATAAGGTGGATGTGGTTGAGGAAAGAAAGGTCGAGGACAAGGTGCGGCAGCTAGACACTTTTATAAAAGCGCACTGCGCGGAACATTCGTTTACCTACTTTTCACAACATGCGCCTCGCGACAAACGCTTCACTTAGACCCGTGCTCTCGTCACTCCCGTCTTCACATGCAGAACGGCAAAAGTTACAGCAAAGGCATCCCAAGGGGTAAAGGGACCACGCAATCAGGTACCCGTTTTCCACTCGGTGTACTGCACAAGTAAATTCAAGCCGCGCACAGATAATGACTAGAGACTGGGACGGCTGTCACATTGGGTCTAGAAGATCAAGGGGCACACAGACGCCATTCGCTGCTGGGCTGATATGGGGCTTGCACGGATCACACTGTAACGTGCTGCCGACGCATGCTGGGAAAGCTTGTGTCTGGCGCCCACCACTCGAGCTGGTATCCCGTTGCCCATGTGCGATAGCAAGGGACGTTTCAAGATGCCTTGCCAATAGAACACGGCGAACTCTTTCACATGTGCGTGGTCTGGAGATGGAGGAGGATGAAACAAAACGCCTGCCGTTCAGAGTCCGATGCTCGGAAGATCGGCCAAGGAAGGCAGGCGACGCCATCCGTTTCAGATTGCGGACCGCAACCTTCTCCAAGACCCGAAATGATTGACAGGGGTAAGCAGCCCATTCAAGCGGTGCTCAACAATTATTGTCATGTTCTTCAGCTTCTCGACCCAAAGACAACACACACAAGTATTGGAAGTGAGTCGTTCGCCCTGCTCCATGCTTTAGAACCCTGTATTCAATACATATTCTCTCCGACTCGCCAAGTGTTGACGGGACGGCAGATTTTGGTGAGTTTTCACTCTTGAACCTTCAGGCAAAGGCTTGCCCAAGCCGCTCCACCACACCACACAGAGTCCGGACTACAGGCGCCGAGGACTATCGAATCAAACATCCACCAGCCACTGGGACGCATTCGCAATCGCGGCACAGACAGACGTCTGCACCTCAGCACATGGCAAGTGGGGAAAGACCAGCTGTTAGATCGACGAGTGCAGCATGTGGAGTCTCAACGACAGGCACAGAAGACTTGTAAGAATTTTTGCCTCTGATTAACAACGACATCTAGTCTGTTCCACTACTCAGCTCGCCTTGTCCTCGGCGTTATGCATCGAGGTACCATTGTACCTTGCGCGGGCAGATGTGATGAAATCGATTCAAGCACACTCATCCCGAAAGGAAGCCATCTACTGTTTCTCGGAAGACATGGACAAGACCACTTGGGCGCATGTTATCAACGAATCTGATACTAGAGAGCCTGCAAGTTGGTCGAGTGAAAGTTGACGGTGTGGAACAGCTTGCAGGGCATCGTCGGCAATTTCAATATGCAGGAGCGACAGCCTTGCCGCTCAGTCTTTATTTTCTATCCGCTTAAACCTGCATCCTCACCAACAACCTGGTCCAACCTTCACGCCTACTGTACTCTCTTCTCCAGCCTGTCTGACCTTGCATCAGGCACGATCATGTGTTGCCAGCTCATGACCGCTCCTTTGAACAGCGCATTGAGCATGAAGGTTACAGCCTCCTCGCTGATATTCAGAAGCGGCCGTGTATCGCAGCGTGTTGGTCTGCGGCTCGAGTCAATTCACCTTGCCTTTATTCTCGTCTAGAAAAGGCCTCGTAGCCGAGCATGGGCCTCGGACAATTGAACGGCATTCCATGGTGCCATCCTCGGTCTCTTGTGACTTCTAGAGGTACCTACAAGGATGCGATAGGGTTAGCCCGCATGGTCGTGTCGTTCTGTCGTTATCTGAAGGGGTAACTCAAACATCGATGTCTTGTTGAGTCAAGGCAGAATTCGTTTTCACTTTGTCGCCGCTCAAAGAGACCCTCTTGGGACCCGTCTGCCATCATCTTTCTTACATGTGTACAAAAACTTCAATCGTAGACATGCCAACAACAGGCCATCAATTGCACGCTTGTTCACATCTACGCTGCAAATCCAATGGCCTTGTAAATATGTACGTAGACTGTTTTGACGACAAAGTAGACGATTTGCTGTTGATTTACATCTTAGACCAGGGTCATACCCGTAGCAAGTCTGTTGATCCTTCACATCCGTTCCTCTTGACCTAATTTGAACCATCATCCAACCTGCCATTATCCATCTTCGTTTGTCTCCTCGGGATAGCTCTAATATTAACACTCCATGGGCTACACATATAGGTATGCGCATATCTAAAATCGAGTATGGATATCACTAATGCGGAGCAGCGAATCATGGGCCTTCTTCCATAACACTCCGGGTGTGCCGCGGCGACGACTGAATTCAGGCGTTACCGACTCTCTGTCGAGAATAAGCGTAGCATCGGACGTCGTGGTACTAGCGGAGCAAGAACTTGAGGAGATGAGACGTCCACAGTACGAACTTTCGTCCTCTCGGCTGGTGCGAGTACATGATACCAATGATTCTCGAAGACAGTCAGAAGTGGCAGTAGAGCAAGCGGACCATATTCCCCAACGAACTCCTGCTCTAACACATGCATCACATCTCTCGCTCAATCCGGACGATCGACCCTTTTCGGACCTTCCCCGCTGCTGGGATCCATGTTGCAACGGCCGAGCCTTCTCAAATAGCAGTAACCTCGCTAGGCATCAGAGGGAGAAGCGTGGTGGAGATGCGAACTTGAGATGCTCGTTTTGTGGTGTTGGGTTCAGTCGGAGTAGCGCAAAGAAGGCGCACGAAACCGAGAGAAGGTGCAGAACTCGGGGTGGAAACGCGATCTGCTAACTAATTCTACAAACGATGAAGCGGTCAAGCTTCTTGAATCCCATACGAGCGCGCGTGCTTTGCCGTACTGAGTACTATGGACGATGGAAACCGAGTGGTTACGCAACGAGGAAACAAATTTAGCTGCGATGTACTCTGAATAGTGTGATGAGGAACTTCCGTTGACAGTCTCATAAAAGGCAGTCGCAATAGAGGCCCACTAGTAAGGGATAGCTGCGTCTAGGGTTCGCACGCGAAAAACTGCCCCAGCCATGCCTTTTCGATCTCATCTCCAAATAAGCAGATTACGAGCAACAGTGCATGCCAACAGGAACCCACACTAGGGCTGTGAGCAAGAAAAACCACCCCCTCCAAGGGGGAAGAACCCTGCAGCCTTCGCATTTCCTTATTGTGTTGTTTTCCAAGATAGAACGATTTTTATCTCGAGGGGATCGAACCCATGCACGGGTGGTTGGCGAATGTCGGCGCCAGCCAAGTGTGCCATACGACCTGGTGGTGGTAAGCAGTGGTACGGCGGGGCACTGTCCTTGGCTGGAGACCCAAACAGACAAAACAAGGCAGTATACAAAGGTAGGGTTCAGCTTTGCAGGAAGCGACGGGACCGTGTAATGACCAAACCGATGTTCGTGCCTGAGGTCTTAGGCCGGCGTTGAATTCCAACTTGAATGGCATATCCCACCAGCAGTTCCTCTTGCAGATGCTCGTCGTTGGTTTTGCTGCATCACTCGACCCCGCAGCATGCCATACCGCAGCATGCCTGCGGCCATATCAGTCGTGCTAGGTTTCAGATCGACTGAGATATCTCGATGCGAAGTCCGCTGAGTCACATACGTCGGCCTTCGGTCAGAACTTTAAAGACGTATTCTGGCGCTGAGAAATTGCGCCAATATCTGAGGGGTTACCGTATATCTCGGACATGTATTGATTCAGCCAAGATCCACTGTGGTTCGCGAAAATGATGTCCTTGCTAGTCGTCTGCAACATAGTCACCCATCATCGACGCACTCGGTGGTCCTATAGCAGTATCTACCATGACAGTGTCGGGTATCACTGCTCGATACATTTCCAAGTTTGTTATCATCTCGAACCAAGCCGTGAAATAAGGGAATTGTGCTCTCCAGACTCGATCGAAGACTTTTGCGAAGCCGAAACTGACCAGTCCAGCGCAGAAGAGATCGGCTAAGGTCAAGCCATCCGCCACTAGGTATCTCTTATCCCGTAGATGATCCTCAACAATCTGTATAGCTTGAGCGGCTTGCTTTTTCGCCATCTCGACGCCTTCCGGAGCATAAGGTGCCACACCTAGCAATGGCAAGATCCAGGCTGCCATTCTTTTGACTACATCGCTGTTACAAAGTGACATCCAATTGACAATATTGATGAAATCCATGTGTCCAGAGCCGAGCATTCTTGATTCGGTATCCTGACTTGCCACTNNGCATCAACACGGTCAGCTTAGTTGAAAGACATACATGCGAAAAGGTTGCAATCAAATCATACCGTGCAGCGCAATCGCCATACACTCTGTCAAGACAGTGCCATCAGAGCTCACAAAAGTGGGCGTCTTGCCCAGTCGATTCAATTTCAGGTATTCTTCGGAAAGTCCATCTTGTGGATTCGTCTCAACCACCTCAATATCAAAACCAATGGCATGAGCCACAGCAAGAATACCGATTGATCTCGGACCGCCNCTACTGAGCGATTGAGCTGTCAGCCATCCCGAAGTTTCAATATTGTCCCTAGGGCTCCTTACCCTGTACGTATATAATTTGTTACGAGGTGCCATCACCAAAAGAAGACACTTCACTTCGCTTCACCATATCAGAAAGCACGGCAATGATTGGCAAACGAAACATCGCTTCAGCACAATTGGGAATAACAAAGACGTCGTCCGAGGTCTCGGTCTGATCCCTCGGTGCCAAGCATGATCCATCGGCATCCTTCGGCATCTTCGCGATCCCACACGATCCGTCGTCTCAGCACCATCTTGGACTACTGCTTGACACCATAATCAGGCAGAAGCTGATACAAGACCATCGTGCAGGGCATGACAGGTAACTAAAGACCCCAGTCAAGATATCGAATGCTTGGGGTTTCTACGAATTTTTTCCCACAGGCGTTCTTATCTCTTGTAGAGTAAGAACGTCTTGCGAGCCATGCGAGCCATCACTGCATGAATCGTTACCTTCCTAAGATAGTCGCGGAGCATTCCTTCCTGATCCAACGCTAGCACTCTGGCCCTGGCTGCTCCGTCATATAAAGCAAGAGTGGTTATTCCTTTCTGGCTTCCGCAATCACTCCAATATCCATCTTCCACAACCGAGTCACCTCTTCGCCTCTTCCCCCCTTCAACGTTCCTCATCAGCATAGGCAACTTGTGTCGACTGTTGTTGAGATTCGGGGTTGCCCATTTCAATCTTCCAAGCAATAAAAAGATGGTCGGTCTTGATCTCATACGCAAAGCCAACAGTAGCTCAGGCTCCAGGCTACTCAATCCTGTGGCTCTCTTCGTAGGAGGGACCAGTGGCATAGGTCGAAGCACATTACGCCAACTGGCTCTCAACACCAATGCTCCAACAGCCTATATTGTCGGTCGCAGCGAGGATAGCGCGAAAGCAGTCCTCAAGGAGCTACGCCAGATCAACCCACTCGGCTCATTCAACTTCATCAAGGCCGACGTTTCGCTCATCAGCAATGTCGACAAGGCTTGCGAGAGCATCATGCAGCGGGAGAAAGCGTTGGACCTGCTATTCATGACCCCAGGTGGACTGTCACTGGTCGGACGTCGAGAGACGAGCGAAGGCATCGACAAGTTGTTCGCCCTGCGTTACTATGCTCGTATGCGTTTTGCTCAGAACTTGCTTCCGTTACTGGAAGCTGCAGAGCATCAGCCTGGGCGTGTCGTCAGTGTCTTGGGTGGTGGCTACGAGGGCAACATTTATGCCGACGATCTCGACTTGAAGCACAACTACAACATCATCAGCTGTGCCATGCATTCTGTCACGATGACATCGCTGGCCATGGAACACTTAGCCACCTTACATCGCGCTTCTTTTGTGCATGTCTACCCTGGCATAGTCGGTACGAATATCTACACCAATAGCTTCGCTTCGCCATTAGCCGCAGTGTACAACTATGGCGTGTGGCCTCTGATGTACCCGTTCTCGGTCAATCTCAACGAGAGCGGCCAACGTCATCTCTTCCATGCGACATCTGAACACTATCCTGCCAACACACTCCACAATCAGGAGGCTCCAGCCACTCAAGCTGGAACGGTAGCAGCCATAGGCTCTGATGGAGTGCTTGGCAGTGGCGCGTATCTGATGAACTGGAAAGGTGAAACGTTTGCAGGAGGCAAGAAGATGCAGAAATTGAGGAAACAAGGCATGGCTCAAAAAGTATGGGAGCACACTATTGACCTTCTCGGCCGCACTGTGAGGTAGTCGCAACCACTGCATGATGTGTCATATTTTAGGAAGTCTGTCAGAATCGACAAATTTTACTCGTATCCAAAGGAGGTGCATGGGAATATTTAACCAGTTTCCTCAGATCCAGATCTTAGTCAAAAAATTGTATCATAGATTGGAGATTTCCGTCGAAGTCGAATGTGCTTGTATTGAGATCCGTTCCGAACCAATCGACTAGTTGCGTAGCGTCCAAGCTTGCGGAAGGTAGCGTGGAATGTGTGGCATCCTGAATATCGTTGGTTTGGTCTGTACTCGACATATACCATGCCAGTGCGTCTTCGTCGGTGGTAGACAACATTGCTTTCCTCGTGCCTCCAGGATCTTTCGAGACAGAGACATCTTCCCCACCATAACAAGTCGGTCTATGAATCGTACCTGCCTGAGCAAACTTCTGGGCGTTCGGTACCTCTTCCAGCGTCCACAGATTGAGCCAGGCCAGCTCAGAAGCAAGCTCTTGGTGACCACACTGTTGCAACAGCTTTCGAAGTCTCTGGAAAGTTCCTACAAGCTTCCGGGTGGGCCATAGTGCACCCCAACCACTGAACTTTGTCAGTAGGCGTCCAAGAAAGACATCAGCCCTGGTGTCCCTGATCTTTGCGTCGCATCTGCATGATCCGGAAGCCGTGCTGCCGCAAAGTGGAGTTTGACGAGAATGATCGTCGCATTCATCCATCTGACGATTCCAAGGCATCGCGTTCGGTGTTTGCGATGCCAATGATGTACTGCTATACATTAGCGTGTTGACACAGTCATGCATGCATATTATACATACTTCACGCATATGTAGTAGCACGCCAACCACATTCTCCTTACTTCGAGAGTAGAGAACTGGCACTCGCTAGTAGCGCCACGAAGGTTGTCTGTCTGGCGCGGCATCATCGTGCTCCACGACCAGTCCCTCAAACGCTTTCCCAAGCCCATCATTATAGCCATATTCGCAGCTGCATGAGTGATGTGAAAGACATCCATCTCTTCACCAGCTTGCAGAGACTCGAGATCCTTAAACCATACCATAGATATGGCAAAGGCTTGTAGTAAAGACATGCTGTATGCACTGGAGTCAAGCAAACGAGCAGAGTACACCTTCACGAGGAGTATACGCAATTTTCGCGCGAGATCTAAGCCATAGAAGCCATCACCTGCGGCGTCTAGGATGGCCAGAAGCAAAACGGGCGAATGCTGCCGGGTTTCTTCAACAGTCATGCCCAAAGGGATTGTCATTAAGGGAAGATGCTGCAGCATATCCGCCCCAAAATGGTCAAAGATCATGCTTGCCGTTTCATCATCGATGATGCCGCAGATTGACGTCTCAACATGGGCATTAGAACAATCTGTCGGAGACGAGTAAGAGGCATCCGTGATTCGGTTGGAGTCCAAGACAGCAGTCGCCAGTGGTGGGTCTAGCACCGTCGTTCCTTCCGCCGTAAAGGCCTGAGCTGCAGAAGAAGGCGATGCGTCTCGGTCTTGTACAGCATCAAACAACACGCCTAGTCTTGCTTCGATAGCATCGATGGGTCTGCTGTCAAATCGCTTCTGCCTTTTGTTCGACTCCTCGAAAGGTACGCAAGTTCTGCCCGCCTTGCTACAACGTGCACACGACCGATCATCATCTGATCTCCTACAGCGCACCTTCGAAGTACGACATGCTTGGCAAGCTCGGCTCAATTTCGTTTGGTCCATGTTGGTAGTTCCTGCTGGTCCTGAATCATCACAGAGCCTGACTGTTGAGCGCGTCTCGATGGTGGTGAAGCCTATGTTGATGGACGTATTGAGACTCCATCATACAGATGTGTGGGAGGATATTGACAAGATGCGGACAATGACCAGATGATTGATTCAGATGGGATGTTGTTGATGACATGTTGAACCAGAAGTCCTGGCAATGCAAGATGTTGATGGCTGGAGTCGATTGAGTCTTATGTCCGTATTAATTCCGACCGCTATTCATCCTTCCACAAACATGACATCTGCACCTCACGAACAGCTTGCAGTGAGAACTCGACCTGGAGCTCGTCTTCTATATGATGCATCTGCTGAGATTGTTTGATCGCCATTCGCTGTTGTAGACGCACGTACTACCCGCCGCCCAGCATGTCTTAAGAGGCCCCTCCGGACCTGCGATGATCCGACGAACCACAATGCATCTGTAAGCGCCATGATCCATTCTGAAGCGCTGTGCCGCACGGTAACGCGATGCATGATAGCCGCCTGATAAAGCTCTCAAAGATCATCGCAATCGAGAGAATAAATGAATATTAAGTCTCAATGGCTGCTTTCTACCTGCCTTTATAATCAGCAGTCATCGTCAGAAATCGATTCGAGCTCAACATCTTTGACAGCACCAAACTTGTGTGGTATACAAGCCACTCGAGATGGGATACCTGTGCTCATCGACGTCATATCTTCTTCTACTTGCTTTTGTGCAGCTCTCGCTACAGCAATGTTACAATCTTGATGGCAGCATAGCACCACACGAGATCCCATGTACTGAATTCGCCAGCGACTCTGACAAAGCAGTTCCTTGCTGCGAGGCCGGCAGAAAATGTTTGCCCAACAGCATGTGTGTGAGTACCGAGACGGATACAGATCTGATAAGAGGGACTTGCACCGATAAAACATGGGCATCTCCTCATTGCAAAAAGTTCTGTGCAAACAGTAAGCTTCTTGTGCCTTTGCTGTAAGTGGGTAGCTGATTATTCGCGATTTAGACAACCGAAATGTTACAATATTCGATTGTACTGCAGTGAATGGACAGACGAGTGCCAACATGAACGGCTACTGCTGTGCTGCGGAGAGCCCACAGTGCTGTGATTTTATGTGGTTGATATGGAACGCACCCGATCTGATCGTGTCTGCGAAGTCTTCTTCTTCGGGATCATCATCACGGTCTTCTGCAACTTCTATAAGTTCGTCGGCAACTACTTCGACCGCTACAGATTCTTCATTGGCATCTGATGCATCTTCAACTTCTTCAAGCTTCCCGAGCTTCTCAACAACAAGCTCATCATCTTCCAACATACTATTCACTCCATCATCTTCTATCATAAGCTCGACTGACGGGCAATCCGGGACTAAGACTGATCTATCTACCATCAATATACCCTCGATCGTAGTAGCAGCTCCTACCACAACATCAACTGGATCCACAGGCCAAACAAGAGACTGGACAGGCGTAGGCATCGGAGCAGGCATCGGTGCCGCAGTCCCACTGCTCATCCTACTGATCGTCGGCAGTCTACTTTGGCGCCGTCATCGTCGTCGTGCGTTGCAGAAACAGCTTTCGTCTGAAGAGGGTGCTTCGTCAAGACTCACAAAAGACCCATCGATACGCATGGACAGACCTGCTTACCTGAAAGCGTACGAGGCAGATGGAGTGCCACAGTATGAACTAGATGCCGTCCGTGGCGCGGAAATGCCAGTGAGAAGTCCTAGGGAGTTGCCAGGATCAATGGGAGAGAGGCAGAGACATCAAAGATATCATTCTGGGAGTTCCAACAATCCGTTCGAGTTGGGGTAAGCAATATGGCAGAGACAAATACGACTAGATGATTGTACATATTCATACAACAAATCTCTACATATACCATAGTACTACAGCATCGATCTCAAACTTGCAAGTTCAGGGCTGACGGCTTCCTTGCTCTTCAAAGTCAGAACAGCAGCTTTCTGAGCGAGCTCGATCAGTTCTTCAATCTTGGCATCCTTGCCTCTCTTAGCAAGACCAGAAACGATAGTGCCCAGGAAAGTGTCCCCAACACCATTGACACTGACAATGTCCTTCTCATCGACCTTTTCAGCAGCAGGGAAGAGACGCATATATACACCTCCAACTCCGGACGACTCTTCAGGCAGATTAAAGCAACGGCTCAAGATGTATGGCGAAGATGCAGGATCTTGGAGACGCGAGTCGCCGGCAGGCAGAATTTGAGTGAGAAGTACGCCATCGGCGCCGAGCTTGACACAGATCTTGGGGATGAAAGGTAAGAGTTGAATAGTCTGTTGTGGGATGCCAGCGTCGACGAGAGACGAGTTTGTCGCCATGGTCATCGCCACACGAGCCCCTGTGGAAGGAATGCCCAAAGAATCAATTACTGCCCACCAGTCCTGACGATCAAAGAAGCCGAGAGAGCTAGCTGCCGCGTACATGGCCGAGAGTTCCATGGTGTTGGGAGTGGACAGATGGATTGATGGGTTGGGAAATGTCTGCAGAGGTGTTTGTGGAGGAAGTTGGAAGATCTTTGGGGCCTTTGCAGTGCTCACAGGCTCAAAGGCAACGTGGGCGGAGATAGACTTTGCAGCTTCGAGCCAACGAGCCAAAGACGGCGGTTGCCAGTTCGCGTCCAAGACTAGATGTGTGGGCTTGCTCTGTTGCAATTGAGGCAGCCAGAAGTCGTTGAGCATATCGCTCGATGTAGAGGTGGATGTTGATGGCTGGCCTGGTTGAGCTGCGGATTCGTCCAGAATGTCCATATCGGCCATGGCGATTACTAGATCCTTGCTGGCGTCGTTGACCGCCACGTATTGAGCCGTATTGCTTTCCTGCCTAATCTTGATACCGGTGCTTTCGAGACCTTCGGTCGCAAGTGCATCGAGAGCAGCTCTGCCCGACAGGTCGTCGCCGACTGAACTGCAGAGACGTACCGAGTCACCTACGAGGTTCGCGGCACGAGCAACGTTGTGAGCTACACCACCGAGAGATTGATTGATCTTGGCGGGATTCGAAGTATGCAAGACAGGCTCCTTGTTTGCGGCAGATGATATCGGAGCATAATCACACGAGAAGTCCACGGCGAGTGCCCCAGCCACAAAGACCGAAGGAGAGGTTGCGGGTTTGGTTTGCTCGACTGGACTGGAGATGGCCTTTGGAACATCAGATGTAGTGTAGTATGAGGAGCCTGATCCAGCTATCTGCGAGCGTGGTGCTGGTTGAAACATCCTACCACAGTCAGCCGAAGTGACTTGAAGCCTAAGAAATACACTCACTCACGAAGCTTGACCATGCTCGGATTCAGCTTGCAGCTTCATCAGCTCAGCCGCCACCGAGGTGCCTCGTCGGACGTTGTTCTCAATCAATGCCTTGTTGGACTTGACACTGTTCTTGCCTGTCAAGTCCTTGATCTTGGCAAGGATGAACGGAGTGTTGGCAGCCCCGGTAGCACCTGCCTGTGCCGCTTCCTGCAGAGCCTCGTCGATCACCTTGTCCATTTCGGCTTTGGCAATACTAAAAGCTTCGGGAATTGGGTTCGCGAACAACAGGCCAGACTGCAGGCCTAGCGAATTGTGCGCATGGATGACTGCAGCAGCAGTCTTCTCATTCTCCAATATCATCGGACTCTGGATACCACTTTCCCTAGTCCAGAAAGCAGGAAAATCTATCTTGCCATCACGACCATCGGCGAAGGTGGCAACCGGTACGCCTTGGGTCTCAAGGTACTCTAGAGTTCTTCCAATGTCGAGGAAGCTCTTGCAACCGCTGCTGACCACAGCGACTGGGGTACAGCCAAGCTCGGTGAGATCGGCCGAGATGTCCATGGTACTTTCGGCACCTCTGTGAACACCACCCAAGCCTCCCGTGGCGAAGACTTGAATGCCGGCCAGATGGGCCAGAATCATGGTGCCAGCGACAGTTGTGCCACCATTGTAGCGGCGTCCAGGAGAGCCCAAGCCGCAGGCAAAGCCCAAGTCGCGCCGCGAGATCTTGAGTGTATCAGGCTTACCAGCAGCACCAGCGAGACGAGTGATCTCCTCTGCGTCTAAGCCTACACGGGCGATGCCATCGAGGATACCAATGGTAGCCGGAACACCACCGCCGGCTCTAACGATACTCTCCAGGTGAGAGGCTAGAGCGATATTGTCTGGATAGCTCCAGCCATGTGTGTAAATGGTGCTTTCTAAGGCGACGACGGGTCTGTTCTCGTGGATAGCCTGCTGGACTTCTTCGGAGACCTTCAGATAAGGGTTCTTGGATGAGAGGTTGCGAACACCTCGCAGACTAGACGTCGATTGGCGCCATTCTCGGCTGTGGAGTGCACCTTGACGCAATCTAAACATTTACAGCAAGCAGCGATCGGAACAATCTTTCTGATCGAATGCAATGACGAGAATGAAAATATAATGCGCGAGATCGAGGTTCAGGTACAAATTCGGAAGTGTTTGGAAGGAAGTCGCGATTGGATGACGCGGCGAGTCGGGGGAAGGTGGGCCGAGAGCGAGAGGCCACGCTTCCACCAAAGCTGGAGAGCTATCGGCCAGATGCTTCTGCTCTCTCAGGAACTCACCAACCCACACAACAACTATGAGGAGTCTGAGTTTGCTCGCAGGCTGCGCCGCAGCGCTGCTTTCCNTTGCCAATGCCGAGGCCAATCTCAGCAACCCCCATGTGTCCAAACAGATGCTCAGCGGCACCTTCGAGCCTCCGCAGGTCTTCCAGCACACCAACCTCGTACGAACCGTCAACCTGGAGAAGGAGTACCCTCGCGAGACGATCAATGTCGTCGTCGAGAACATCGACTCGAAGCCTCAGCAGGACTACTACCTACCATTCCCTCAGGACTTGATTGCCAGAATCGGAGGCCTGGACGTCAAGGACAAGAACAAGCCCGACGCCATCTTCCCTAGCCCGGAGATTGTTGGCATTGACACATACAGGTGAGTTGGTCTTGCCTATACGATAATCTCAAATGCGCTGACAGACANNAGTCCTATCGAGTACTACCGCATCCAATTCCCCACCGCACTGGCCCCTAAGGAGAAGCTCACGCTGTCCATAACCTACTCGGTCCTGTCCGCCCTGAATCCTTTGCCCGCCAGCATCAACCAGGCCGACAAGCAATACGTGCAAATCACTCTCAATGCCTACACCAACTCGGCCTACAAGACCATGAAGCAAAAGACCAAGCTCAAGATGCCCACCAGCGACGTGCCCGAGTACACTGTTGTCGGTACCAATGCCGAAGGCCAGGAGGATCCCGTCAAGCAGGGCGTCACCTTCACCTACGGTCCCTACGGCGAGGTCCCTGCTGGCGCCAACCAGCCCGTCTCGCTGAGATACGAGTTCACCAAGCCTCTGCTGCATGCTACCCTTGTCGAGCGCGATATCGAGGTCAGCCACTGGGGAGGCAACATCGCTACCGAGGAGCGCTACTGGCTCGAGAACAGAGGTGCCACCCTCAAGAACCAGTTCTCGCGTGTCCAATGGCAACAGACTCAATACTTCAACCCCCCTACATCGGCCTTGAAGGAGCTCGAGTACCCTCTCATCATCGGAAGCGCAAACCCCTACTTCATTGACGACATCGGCAACGTCAGCACTTCTCGCTTCCGTCCCAGAAACACCCCCAAGGAGGCTCTTCTCCAGCTCAAGCCCCGTTACCCCTTGTTCGGTGGCTGGAAATACAGCTTCAAGGTCGGTTGGGACAACGATGTTAAGAGCTTCTTGCGCAAGCTCAAGACCGGCGACGGTTACGTTCTCAAGGTCCCTTTCCTTGAGGGCCCCAAGCAGCCAGAGGGTCTGGAGATTGAGAAGTTGACTGTTAGAGTTGTCCTCCCTGAGGGCGCAACGTGAGTTTTCCTGGCCACTATTCAATTTCTCGTCAGAGCTAACATGAATTACAGTAACATCAAGTTCGAGACCAAGGTGCCCATCATCTCGTCCGAAGTCAGCACACACCGCACCTTCATGGACACTGTTGGCCGCTCGACGCTCCAGCTCACTGCACTAAACGTTGTCGACGACTTCCGCGGCAAGGAGCTCGTCGTGACCTATGACTACCCCTTCCTCGCAGGCTTCAGGAAGCCTATTGTCATCTTCAGCTCCATGATGGCAACCTTCGGCGTCGCATATCTCATCAGCAGACTCGATGTCAGCATCGGCAGAAAAGCGTAGATTGTTTTTGTAGAACTGAAAGTCGTTTTCCATTTTTCATTTCTATATGGACGTACATCTGTTTCCAGAGAACGATCTATGATGTATGGCGGAGAGGGCAGATGGAGTTGAGAAGTATTACAGCGGCCTCGCTAAGGCGTGCTTGTTGACTAGTGCAGACCAGCTGCACTGCCTGAGTGATTTGGATGGAGAGGCTTCAAGGCTTCTTGGTACGCTCGGTCTGAGTTCCGTCATCCCAGAACTCCATGTCGCTCTCAGAATCCAGAGCACCCTTCTTGAGCAGCTGACCTTTTTGAGCAAGAATGTCCTCCAGAGTGATACGCTTGTCGGAGAAGATCTAGACATGTCAGCAGTTGTCGCGTGAGAGGAGGTGTGATCGACGTACCTTTAGGTGGTCGGCAATCAGATGTCTGTTCTTGCAGCCGGGACATGTGATGAGGATGGTGCCGTGGTGGTAGCCCTGCTTGGACATGCGGTGCGCGGAGCGGGTAGAGCACGCCTTGCAGGTGAAGGTCATCTCATATGAAGGCACCTCTTCGCGGGGCTCGGCCTTGGGTAGTTGGTCGGGACGGTCGGTCAATGGCCTCGCTGTGGATTCACATCGTCGTTGTTGTGACTGAAAGGCGGGAACGAGATGTGTTTTGGTGCGGAGGAGAGGCGGGAATGCCGACGAGGGTCGCAACGAGAGGTGACGGAGTTGTTGGCGGCATGCTTGGGTGACTGAGGGTTGGCGCAAGCAGACGCGCTGCAGGGCACGGGTGGCAGATGGGAGAGACATGGCGTGGAAAATGTCGATTTGTGAGAGTGAATTGTGAAATGTGAAATGTCATAGTCCAGCTGTTTGCGGCTGCGTCACTTGCGGCGAGGAATTCTGCCACTCGGACCGTGCGCTGGGGTGAGTTGGCGCTTTCCGAATGCGGCGGGCAGCTGCCCATGGCCGCGCTGCTGATATCACGAACAAGATCCATCCACCTTCATGTCCTTGTCTCCAGTCACATGTCTTTATATCTTATCGCCATTCACTCCGTTGACCGTCTTGTCTGAAGGCTGTTGACCCGAAGCTTTCCACACAAAGCCGGCACAGAGACCCTGAGTGCGCAAAGCCAAAGCTGTCCGCTGTCACTGCAACGGCTCTCCGACCCCGCCACCATCCAAAAGACGAGCGAGACAACCCAAGACAATTGTTGATCTCCTCACACCACGACCATGAGCAGTCGCCAGCGCACAAAGATTCGCGCTCCTAGAAGGGTGAGTCCATTCTAACCTCCACCGCTTCCATGTCGAAGCCTACTCTTCGTCGTTGGACTAGAATCTCTAACATGATGCGCATCCAGGNGCGTGGCTGGTGCCAACGACGTCGACTTTGAGGACACTTGGGCAACTCTTTCACATGCTTTTGGCGAGATCCATACCAAGAACGCTTCCGCTCTCTCCTTCGAACAGTTGTACCGCGCTGCCTATAAGATAGTACTCAAGAAGAAGGGCGACGACTTGTACAAAAAGGTTGCCGACTTTGAGACCCAATGGCTGTCCACCTCGGTCCGTCTGGACATTGCCCGCACTCTGCACGCCGCTATCCTCGCCAACCTCGACGACTCTTCAACCGACCCTAGCGCTACTGCTCCCGAACGCCGCGAAGCTGGTACTCGCTTCCTCGCTGCCCTCAAGTCCGCCTGGCAAGACCACCAGACTTCCATGAGCATGTTGACAGACGTCCTCATGTACATGGACCGCGTCTACTGTGCCGACACTAGACAGCCTTCCATCTTCTCCAAGGCTATGAGTCTCTTCAGGGATAGTATTCTGTACTCAACCGCCATTACCTCCGCCCAACCTCCGCTCTCCTTCCTCGATACATTAAGCGCCGTCGTTCTCGATCAGATTCGCATGGACCGCGATGGCGACTACATCGACAAGTCTCTGATCAAGGCAAACACCTACATGCTCGAAGGCCTCTTTGAGACGGACGCAGAAGGAGAAGATGAAAAACTATACCTCACCAAATTCGAACAAGATTTCCTCGACAAGAGCGCAAAATTCTACCGCGACGAGAGTGAGCGGCTTTTGAAAGAGTCGGATGCGGGCACATACTGTCGTCATGTCAGGAGAAGATTGGACGAAGAAGCCGACCGCTGTCGCTCCACCATCTCGGAATCGACTTCGGCCAAGATTATCAAGGTCGTTGAGGATGAACTTATTCGTCAGCAGATCAAAGCCTTGATCGAGATGGACAGTGGTGTACAATTCATGGTTGCAAACGACAGGCACGAAGATCTCGGTCTAGTCTTTGAGCTGGAAAGCAGAGTGGACCCCAAGAAGCCCGAGTTGACAAAGGCCATCCAAAAGATCATCCAGGAGATGGGAACTAATGTCAACAGCAACGCTATGAATCAGCCAACTGCGCAACCGACCGCTCCGGCCGAGGACGGAGAGACTGGAGAAAAAGAGAAGACAAAACCGGTAGAGAAAGTCAACCAACAGACTGCGGCAGCTCTGAAGTGGGTTCAAGATGTTTTGGACCTGAAGGACCGTTTCGACCAGATCTGGAAACTTGCTTTCAACCAGGACCAAGTCCTACAAACCGCCCAAACCCGCAGTTTCTCCGACACAATCAATGCTCTTCAGCGAAGCTCCGAGTACATCTCGCTATTCATCGATGACAACATGAAGAAAGGCATCAAGGGCAAGACCGAGGAAGAGATCGACCAAGTGCTCGAAAAGGCCATTACCCTGGTTCGCTACCTTCAAGACAAGGACATTTTCGAGACATATTACAAGAAGCATCTCTCGAAGCGTTTGCTTATGGGTAAATCAGTAAGCCTCGACGTCGAGAAACAAATGTTGGGTCGCATGAAGATCGAGCTTGGCAACAGTTTCACGCTCAAGATGGAGGCCATGTTCAAGGATATGAATCTCTCGGACGAGCTTACTTCAGGTTACCAGACATATGTCTCGAAACTCGGCGATAATGATTCGAAGAGAATCGAGCTCAACATTCACGTCCTTACCAGCATGACGTGGCCAGTCGAGAGTATGAGAGGACATGATGAGGATCGAGATGGTGCACTCAAGATTATCTACCCTCCTGCGATCGAGAAGATCAAGACCAGTTTCGAGCAATATTACACTACCAAGCACTCTGGCAGAGTACTGAGCTGGCAAGGCGGCTTGGGAACAGCTGACATCAAAGGAACTTTCAAGCTCCCGGGCAAGGACGGCGGTCCTCCCAAGACCAGAGTGCACGAGCTCAACGTCTCAACTTATATGATGATCATCTTATCTCTCTTCAACGATCTGCCAGTCGACGGCGTGCTCACCTACGAGGAGATTGCTGCACAAACCAACATTCCACAGAACGAGCTTATCAGAAACCTGCAATCGCTAGCAGTGGCACCCAAGACTCGCATCCTTGTCAAGGAACCTATGAGCAAGGATGTCAAGCCTACCGATCGCTTCTCGTTCAATGAAAAGTTCTCATCCAAGTTCATCAAGGTCAAGGTTGGCGTCGTCACTGCAGGCAACAAGGTCGAGAACGACAAAGAGCGCAAGGACACTGAAAAGAAGAACAACGACTCTCGCGGCTTTGTCGTTGAAGCGGCCATTGTCCGCATCATGAAGCAGCGCAAGGAGTTGTCTCACCAACAGCTGATCAACGAGACCATTACGCAACTCGTTCAGCAGTTCAAGCCCGACGTCACCATGATCAAGAAGAAGATTGAGAGTCTGATCGAGCGTGAGTACCTGGAGCGTATCGAGGATGCCAAGCTGCCTTCGTACCGCTACCTTGCGTAGAGCGACCAGGGATATCGTCTCTATCCTCTTCCTTTTTTCTTGGCGTCCTCGGGTCTTTATGCATAGCATCACAAGCATTACAAGGCGTTTCAAATTCAAGCGATGGTGTTTTTCGAGGGGTCTCACAAAACAATCTCAGGGGCATGAAGGGGAAAGATTATCCTGGGGGCAAAGGCGGCATTGCTTTTCCAGAGGGAGCAATATGGGAACAGGGGTATGCCATGTATCTTAGCGAATGGCGTTTTTACAAGGTGGCCTCTCCATTTCTCACACATGTTGATAAGAAGAACAAAAGAACAAAGCTCGAAAAAATAATCACCCTTTCTTTTCCCTACTACAGGCTTTTTTGCTGTGCTTTCTTTCGTCTCTCTTCTACTTTTTGTCTCCCACTGCCGCATACTTGGAAGGCAAAGGCAAGGAGAAATAAAAATTTCCCCCATGGCGTTTGTCCTCTTGAAACGACAAAATAATGATTCCTTGCTTCCTTCCCCCTCATCTGTTTCTCACAGAAGAGGTACACGAAAATCTTGTACACCATGCCATCACGATAAGAATTAAAGTTGGAAAAGGTTTTTGATAAATGGGGTTTTCTTGCTGGTCGTGTTGCTAGGTCTTGGGTGTGTTCAGGTTGCTTTGAGTTTTTTCGCCATATGTCCTCTATATACGGATCGTGCTTTTTACTTTTATCCCGCGGATTTTTGTTCGTGAATGATGATGATGATGATTGTTTGCAAGAACTTCTGGTCTCGACCCTTCTAGATTGTGTACTTTACTTGCTCTAGATTGTCTGTATTGGTCCAAGGAGAGCAAGACCCTCGGATTTTGGGCAATCATGACAATGTGGAATGTGATTTCCATCTCGAGGTGATTTCGTGTACAGTAGTATGAAGAACAGCAGGGACGATGCACAGTAGTGCGAATGAGGACACACATGTTTGATAGGTTTCAGAGAGATGTAGTACCGTGATGGAAGAGAAGATCAAAGGTGTTTGTTATTTCGTCTGCCATGACGTGGGAAGATCACTGACTCGGGGGCGAGAGACGACGAAGAAGAAGATCCCTCTCAAAGCAGAGCCACGCAGATAAGAGTCACACCCACCAGCATATGCAAGAAAAAACAAAACAAAAAGCAGACACGAGATTGACAGTGCCTATTGAGAAACGAGACCCGTAAGAACGCCCTTCTAAATGCACTTTCTTTCTTTCGTCAAAAGAGATGCGACTGCGGATCTACCAAACCAACAACCCAAAGGCCAGCACAAGCAACAGCACTGCAAGGACCAATTCGTAAAGTCTTAGGTTCTCTGATTGAAGAACCAGCTGCTGCGTTTTGGGCCCTCCTGCTGTTGCTGTTGCAAGCCGGCGAGTGTGGGTACCATGGGTCCTGCGCCACCACCACCACGGAGGGGCTTTGCGATGCGGCTACCTAGTTCGCTGCCGAAGCCATTGGGAGCTGCACCTCCGGCGCCGGTGATATTGCCGTTGCGCGATGCGGCGCTCACTTTGGCGGCTTCGAGGCGTTCTTTTACTGCGGTGAGTTGGGCTTCGAAANNCTGTGGGATGCGTGTTAGCGATTGGGTGCTCGGCATGCGTGGACAAGGAAAATCAACGTACCGATGGTTGGCCTGCATGAGCTTCTCCTGGCTCTCGCCGAGCAATTGTTCAAGACCGTGAATGCGCTCTCCACGGGCCGCAAGCTTGCGGTCAGCAATAGCGACCTCCTTCTTGAGTTGGGCGTTTTGCTCGACCAATTGCCTTTGGACTTGAGTCAGCTGCTCCAAGTTGCGCTCGAGGAAGGCCAGCTTCTTCTGTTGCTGCTTGCTGTTTGCTGAGCGGAGGACGCTGTTATATTGTTCCCGTGTTGAGTCGAGCGAAATCTCAAGTTCTACAACACGCTCGCAGCGGTTCTGCAGATCGCGCATCAAGGACTTCTTCATGGCGTCAAAGTCTGCCAGTTGTTGGTGCAACGATTTGGCACCATTTGCTCCATTTACCGTCTGCCTCCTCAATGACTCGACCTCGTTGCGCATACGAGTGTTTTCCTCCTGCTGACGGGCCAGGGCAGCGTTGAGATCTGAAGATCCCGCTTCACCACCGGTATGCGATGCGAGCGATTCTTGCAGACGACGCTTGACATCCTCGACGTCAGCTTCCGAAAGATTCGTTTGCAGAAGCTCTTCATACTGCTTTTGCACGGTCAAAAGCTTATGCTCAAGAGCGCCACCTTGAGTCGAGTGATCAACCTGGCGGATAGCACCTTGTGTTTCGACCAATCTCTCTCTGAGCTTCGATAGAGATTCAGGGCCAGGTGCTTCACCCTTGGCAGCGGACTCGAGAAGGACATCAAGTTGTTTTATAGCTTCTTGCACGCTGCGTTCGTTGTCCGAGAAGACCTCGTCTCCCAGATCGAAGCCAGCCATCATTTGAGCCATGCGCTCTTTCTTCAGCTTCTCCTTCTCGTCAATGACAGCCGAAGTTTCACGGGCGTTCATCTTAGCCTCGAGCAATTCTTTGCGCAGCTCGTCAAGTTCGTTGGAAAGGTCGTTGTTGGCTTCCTTGAGACTATCCATCATGATGGATTCCTCCTTTGTTTCGAAAGTGATGCGCTCAACTTGCATCTTCAAGCCTTCAACATCTCCGGCGAGCTTTTCGTTGTCCTTGTTAACACGGCCGTGTGTTTCTCTCAGGTCACGCAACTCTTGACGTGTGTCTTGAAGGGCTTTCTCGGTTGTGGCAATGACAGACTCTTTCTCAGCAAGCTGATCTTGTAACTCGTTCTCGCGTCGTAGGAACTCTTCTCTTTCGTCTTTTTCCAGAGCGGTCGTCGGTGTACCGGCACGTTCCAAGTCCATTCTCGAGTCTGGCCTTGACGAAGTAGGCGTCTCGGCGCCCTTCCGTTGTTCGCTGAGAAGTGAGGGAGTAGCAGGACGAGGTGCAGACTTGGCAGGACCATCTCTGAGTGTCGGGGTCCATTGCTCTTTCGGCACAGCTTGGCCCTTTCTCCAGAAGCCAACCTCTGACTCGAGATTGGTGATGTATGTTTCGAAGCTTGAGACTTGGGACTGAGCCTTGCGGAGGAGAGCTTTGAGCTCGGTGGGGGAGAGTTCTTGGTTGACCTTGGCTTTGTTCTTGATGGATTTTGCTCGCATACCAAAGCGAAGGGTAGAGACGGTTTCGGCATCGTTGTAACTCGAAGGCGAACAGTTGATGATGAGAGTGGTGCGCGAGTTACCACCGAGGGATTCTTGTAGGATACGGGTGAGTTTCGAGTCACGATAGGGAACGTGAGAAGATTTGCCGTCAGTCAAGGCGTTGATGACCATGCCCAGAGCACTCAGCGACTTGTTGATCTTCTTTGCTTCCTCGAGCGTTTGACCGCTGGCTCCTGTCTTTCCAACCTTTTCCGAACCAGCCAGATCGACAAGGAACAACTGACCCGACTTGACACTTCCGGTCTCGACGTTCTTCTGGCCGACGGTGATGACGAAGATGGAGTGTGAGCGGGACGACTCTTGGTTCATGTTTGTAGCGGCAACAGCACGAGACATGCCTCCTCGCTCGAGGATTTGGTAGACCTCGTCGACACTGCTGACGTAGACTTCCATCAGACCCTTGACATAGACGCCGCGGTTCTTCTCCTCGTGAATGGGCAGGTTGTCGTTTTGCGGGACGAGCAGATCGCGAATGCGTTCCATGTAGATTTCCATATAGCTGACTCGGACGGTGTACTCAATGTTGCTCTCGCTGGCCATGATGGAAGCGAAGATCTGCTCAGTGATGCGCGGAATGACACCCTTGTGGTCAGGGCTGCCAATGTCCGAGCCCATCATGGTATACGACTTTCCGGCACCGGTCTGACCGTAGGCAAAGACTGTTCCGTTGTAACCATTGAGGATGTCGTCGACGGTGGGACGGATGGAGAAGTCGAAGACGTCGGACTGGCGACAGGCCATGTCGAAGACGCGATCGAAGGTGAAGGCGCCGCCGCCGCCATCTCTGGACTGGACATTGCAGGTGTCGGGACTCTCGAACTGGACAATAGGAGTACCTCCGCTGGCGAGTTCGATCTTGTTTTGCGGCCTGAAACGAGCGACGACTGGGGAGTGTTAGTGGTGAACAGTGGAGATGGAGCGAGGGTGTTGTCGAGTGATAGCAGACGTACCCTTGATAGAGTTGCTCCTAGATGGCGGTGGTTAGCATGGGGTTGTGATTGTCAGGTGGGGGTCCGGCGTCAACTTACGCCATGGTGGCCGGGTTGCGGCAGGTCGTGGCCTGCTTGCTAGGGAATCGTCTCTCTCTTGTGCGAGGGCAGAGTAGGCGGGCGACTGAGGAAGGCGAGGCTAGAGAGGGTCGGCGCCAACGTATGCAGGATGCACGCACGGCGGTGCACGTCTGGAGAAGTTCGTGGTGGACCGTGACCAGAGATGGAATCAACAGGGGCCAGGGCCAAACTCAAAAGGCCAAAACCAAACAGTTAAATCAAGCCTCACAGCAACCGCCGTTGTATACAAACACTCGTCTTGGTGCACGCTGACGTCTGTCGTATGCTTCCAGAACAAAGCGATATGTGACTGGCCACGTACAATAAGAATAATTTCCCACTGCCGTGTCTCCTGGTCTCTTCGTTAGCGATTGCTTTCTCATGGGAGCCAAGCTGCCCTCGGCCAGCCCCGGTTTCAGCGTTTCAGCCTGAGTCAGCCCTATGTCAGCCCCTCCACATTGACACTCCTTCTGCGCATCCATCAACACTTCTTACAATCGTGCACAAGAATTTGATGCAAGCTTGTTCTCCAAGCCATTTGTGTTCAACCAGACCGTCATCATCCTAGATTAGTCTGTACTCCCTGATCCTATGCCTGTATCATGTTTCGTGTCTTGCGTGCAGTAATACAATAGTCGGAATACAGTCCCTTGCAACGCCCAATGTGGCGACGCCCATGCCAAACGCCTCGCTGAATGTCAAAGCATCTCTATGTCCAATCTTGCAGCCTCTTCAATCTTCCCAGCTCTTCTCGACCGTCTCGCGCACACGCTTGTAGTACTCCTTGCGGTTATCCTTGTACAGATTCGATGCCTCGACGTTGGCAGGCGAGCTGGTGTTGGGGTCGTTGAGAAGACTGTCCCGTCGTGTTAGCCTAGCCTTTTGAAAAGTGTCGACCCTCGTCACACACCTTTGGATACTGGTCAGGATGGCGGCGACATCGTATGTAGGGCTCCAACGGTTCTGCAGGATGTCTAAACACAGTTCGCCTGTGGCGTAGACATTGGGATGGAACATGGTGCTGATGAACTTGACGCCCGGAGGCTTGTTGGGGTACTGCTCCTCGAAATGCATGACCAGTCTGAATGTGCCGTCTTCAAAGGGCGTGTCTGAGGGTCCGATGATGACTGCGTTCNNCTATGCGGCGAATGAGCACGTGTGGCCGACGAGGAGGCCAAGTCAAGCATACCATGTCATGACATTGTCGGCTATGGGCGAGGCCGAGACACCAGCGGGAGGGTCGGTTTGCATGCGNCTGCAGAGACGACGGTTAGCCATGACATCTTGTCGAGATAGGCATCAAACTGCTCGCACCTTAAAGTCGCGCATCAAACGGCGGCGGGCTGAAGTCGACATGTTGGAAGACGAGGTGAGATGAACGGGTCAAGCAGCTAAGATGCGGGCTCAAGATGCAGAAAAGAAGGAGTAATGGCGGCGATGGTTCTGGTCAAGGACGGATGGATCTCGCAGTGAAGGTGCAGCGAGAGAAGGAGGGGCATGAACGCTGACGCCACTCTTTGCGCCGTTGACAAACGCTTTGCAACAAAAGGTCATGAACACACCCTGACTTTTCTTCTTCCTTCCTGCCTTTTGTATCAAGACTCCCTTGGACCTCTTCAGAGCCACATGCGCTGTACACAGCTGCACGACAGCCACCCATGCATCTCTTTATCGTCGACTCGCTCGCAATTCGATATTTAATCAATTACCCACCTCAATCTAATCTTCTACGCATCCCAAGTGCCCAACTCGCTTACATCTCCCAAGCGATCCAATTTTCCTTCATCTTCTGCATAAACAGCTGTTGAAGCTCTTCCGCCTTCAACGTCTCAGGTACCTTTGCAGCTCCCAACCATGCCGCGACCCGACCGATCCCGTTCCCAGTCCATGATTTCTTGCCTCTCCAAGACCGCCGCCCTGGAACATCAACATAACACATGATCGACCTGTATGCCAATCTAGCTCACCAAACAGCTTCGACTGGTTTCTTTGGGTATCTTGATAACGCAATGAACAAGGTACAGACACCCATCTCATGAACATTGATGGCCTTCGATTGAACAGCTCTACAGATTGAAGGACGAGCCTTGTGTCGCGGCTGCCTACACGGTGCAGGCAGATTCGATGACCAAAGAGCATATTCTATGCTAACCTACTAGGCTTGACCCACTTATGTACATACAGGGTATTTTTCCATTCAATGAATAAAGCGCACATTGATGCGCCTGCATATACAAGGATTGCAGCGAATCGCAAGTGTTGCTAAGGTCGAAATAGGCAGTCTGCAAGTCATCCACTATCCACCAATTGCAGACACCCCTGTATATACAGTGCACATGTCATCCGATGCGGTCCGACCTGGGTGTTGTATGCAATATCTCATCAAAGAGTTCCAGGCAGAATTCGCCTCGAGAGGAGCGTATGTCTGATGCCTCAAGATTGTTCAACAGTAACCTGGTGGCCTCACTCCTGTTCAAAGCAAACAAGCATGCAGAGAGCTCATTCAACTCACTGTACATCGCCGTAGGAAGTGGTCGATCTTGACGCTATGACAGTCTTTAGCATACGAAAACCGACTCGTTCGAATTGCATACGCGAGAGTCGATGGCGGTGCCGCAAGTGTCGTGCTTGTCAGAAGTTGGGAGAATCATGCTTGCGAGAATCCTCACGAGCAAATTTTAAAGACGGTATGCCTTCTCGCAGGAAATGTGTACAAGTCCTCAGAAACTCCTCCTGCCTGTCTTTACACCCTCATCTCTCTGTCTCGCAAGTCCTACGAGGTCAATGCCAAGCATAACTTGTTAGTTCTAATGCCCAGGATCACCAAGGATCCGAGCTGACGGTCAGCCGCGACTCTTACCTCAGCACCTTACTTGACATATAAATCATGGCCCTTATGTATCTCTTTCTTCACGACTCTCATTGTCTGACACTCTTGGATATCCAGCAGAATGGATCGCTCAGACATTGAATTCAAAACCATCGACCATGTCACTCTACGTGGCTGGGTTTTCAAGCCAGCCAACGCACCAGGCAAATGCCCTTGTCTGGTCATGTCCCCTGGGCTAGCTTGCCTTAAGGAGATGCACCTGGATACCTTGGCCGAACGCCTGACGTCCGCGCTCCCGATCGCATGTTTGGTGTACGACCATAGGGGCTATGGTGCTAGTGATCAGAAGGTCGATGAACCTCGCAATGAGATTGTCCCGACATATCAGATTAGCGATCTACAGGATGCAATCACCTATGTCCAATCCAGGGAGGATATCGATGCGGCAAAGATTGGTGTTTGGGGCTACTCTTACAGCGGCGGCCACGCACTCTGGGTTGGTGCCATTGATCGTCGTGTCAAGACAGTGATAGCTTTGGCACCATTTACCACAGGGGATATTCTTTCAACCAACATGAGGACAGACTTTGAGGACTCCATGGTCGAAATGCTAGCTCAAGGTATGGAGTTTATACTCAATCGACCTCACAGACTGATGCTCTGCANNGAACGACTGTCACGAGCAGCTGGCAATGAGCCTGGAAGAATACCTGTTGTGGTCGAGAATCCACTCGACGTAGCCGCATTACCACATGCCGAAAGCTACTCCTTCTTTTCTCCTTGGGCTGAGAAGATTAGCTGGAAGAACGATCTGACCATCAGGAGGCAAGTAACGACATTGTGGCAAAGTACTCTACTGACCACAAACCATAGCTTCGAGGCTGTCAAAACATACTTCCCTGCATGCCGAATTCACAAAATCGGACCTACGCCACTGTTGATGCAAGTGCCAAAGAAAGATGTCGTCACGGTCACCGAGTTGATGCTCGAAGCATACAGCCGTGCGGCAGAGCCGAAAGAGATACAGATGTTGCCAGGTGGTCACTTTAGCATGTTTGAGGGTGTTGAGTTTGAGATGATGCTGGCTAAGAACATTGAGTTCTTGAAGGAAACGCTGCTCGAGTAAACAGGTAGTCATTATGGGTCAGCTATCACTAGAAGTTCTCTTGATTAATATGCGAGGCTTATTCATGGAACGAACGATGCAGACTTCTTCATCAAAACTTCAAATGGAGTTCAATCATGACAAGTGTTTGCGTAAGCTTCAAAGGTAGAACGAATGGGACTTGTATAGCGCACATCTGAGAAGTTCCGCTTCAGCTGCATTCGCTTTGGACTGAAGGTGGGCACACGAGGCGGCGTGCCGGAGAGATGCTCAACCATCTTGCTCCTACAAAAGTGGCGCAGACACACAAACCATCAAGTTACAAGGTTGGCGTCAGGAATATATGTAGACACGCAACAAAGACAGAGGACCGACATGTCTGTGTACTTTGATTGATCCTAAAATTGTGCTATTGTCATTCGATCTGACACTCGCCTCTTTGTGTAAAACAGACACTCCAAGAAAGCAAATCACCAGATGTGTGACAGGCAAGCGAGCAGACAAATGGTACTCCCAAGCACAAGGGAGCAAAAAGTAGCACCGTGAGCAGGAATTGAACCTGCGACCTCCCGATCCTTGAGAGCGAGTTTTAGAGACTTAGGTAAGCGAATTTAGGGACTTAGGTAACCGGATCGGGCGTGATACCACTACACTACCACGGCTTTATTTTGGTTGGAGGGGACCTAAGATATCTTGACTATAAAGGTTGGTGGTGCACAGCGACGAACGATGATGGTCTGAGACAGCTTGAGCAAGTTTGGAAGGCAAGCGGAAGCGAGCTTCGGCCGTGTTTGGTGTCTGCCGGCCTGCAGAGCATGGGAGCTCGTTCCAACTATGCGTGAGAGAGAGAGAGATTGTTTGATCATGAGCGGTAAATCCTTGTTGCTCGGTTTGGAAGAAAGGACCGAGGGAGTATTGTCGTGATGCGTGAGATGTGGTTGAGGAGCATAGCAGAGGCGAAGGACGATAGCTCATGACGATTGGAGGGGGTTGATATGTATGCGGCGAGTTTCTCGATCGATTTGCGACTGCCGCATCGATGTCGCTCAGTTCATCAGCTCGACGGAAGCTCTTCCCTCAATCCTCGTCCAAAAACACAATCCCCTGTTCCTCAACCACAGGTCCCGTCTCACCTTCTTCCCCGCCACTCTTCTTGACCGCAACGTTAGCCTTGAACTTCTTCTCCTCCTTCTTTCCCTCTTGCACACCATCACCCTTTGCCTGCGGACCAAGTTTACTCTTCTCCTTCCTCTGCCTAGCCTTCTCCCTCTTCAATCGATTCTTCTCCGTCTTCTCTACATCCCTCTTCTCTTGCTCCTTTTTCCTTTCCGCAAACTCTGCATCTCTTTCCTCGGTTTCTTTTTCTTCGTCCATGGCTCGTAGACGCTCGTACTCGCGTCGTCGAGAGGCCTTGTAGACGTGGAATTCGCCGCTGCCGGCTCCCGCGCTGGAACCTTGGACATTGGCGACAATCTCTGGGGGTAGTGTGGATGATTTGGGAGAGGCTGAAGTGGGTAGATTGATGGGTTTGTCCGGGTTGGCAAAGAGTGCTTCGAGATGTGCGGATTGTTTGCTTCGTGGTGAGAGGGCGCGTTTTTTNGTTGCTTGNGCGCTGCGCGGGTCGCGGTGGACGGGGATGGACTCGGGTATGTTTTCTGACATGATGAGTAGTCGACTCGCTGTGTGTGGGAAAGCGCAAAAGAGGTTTGGTCCTGGTGTGAGGAGTGTTGAGAGTCTGGGAGCTGGAGTTTGGCCGAGGAAAGTGGAAGAAGCTGTGACGTCGAATTCAAACCTCGAAGTGTGACCCTGCCCTTCACCCCAGAGCCTCAATCTATTCTTGTCTTCTACCTTGATGTTCAAGCAAGCCGACGTCACATTGTCTGCGTTTCGTCGTTGTCTCGAACCCTCATGCCCGACTTCAAGTGAGAAATGGCACCAGAGCGAAGTAACACAAGAGAAAAGTGAATTGCTCAGCAGAATTAAGCTGGCTGACCTCCTTAGTAACGCCCCCTAGGCAATCAATCAGCCTACCCATGCCTGTAAAAACAGTTCCAATTATACCACACTCCTTCGTCCCTTCGTTGTTGACCAACTTGCCTTCCTACTATGCATGAATAACGCCAATAACCCACCCGCAAGTATGAATATGAAATGTACCCTTCCCAAAGGTCAAAACGAGTGGTACGAGCTTCACCAAGCTCAATCAGCACCTGCTTCGGCGACGCAATCCCCAATCCTGATCTTGCAACTCCCGTGCAAGGTGCATGCTCTGCTCTTCTTCCTCCTCAATTATGCTTTTCTCTCTAATGATATGCTCCGGCTTCCTCGATTTTATTGTACCTGGTGTCGCCGATAGGCTATCTCGCTTACGCTTGCTGCTTCCAGGCGTCTTGAGCTCTGTGCTTTGTACAGCCTGTGACGGCGCCGGCGTCTTACTAAGAGACCTTTGCACGCGGCTGACCGGCTTTTCTGTGCTGACACTGAAAGAGTGACGCTCAATTCGAGGAGTCTGGGATTTTGTCAATGGTGGTGCCGGAGGTTGATAGAGTGGTATGCTAGCCAGACCTGTGGGTGCTACAGCGAGTGAGGCTGTCGACTTCTCGGGCGACAAATTGGCATCCTTGATTTGTGCTGCAGAGGACTCCACCTGTGGAGCAACAGTCCTCGAGGCTTGTTGAGTAGTGGCCACAAGGGCTGGGCTGTTCTCCAATGGTGCATTGGGAATTAGATCCTCTGTGGAGATCTTCAAAGTCACAGCACTTCCGTTCTGCGAGTATAACCCTGAGGTGTCAGTGTTGTGAGGCTGCACAGGTCCACCTGACGAGCTGGGACGACGTCCCATATTGTTGCCGTTGGCAGGCTGGTTAGTGTGACCAAGGCCAGTCAAGATGTGACCGCTCGGATGGGCTTTGGCTAGCAAAGGAGATGTGTCTTCCCGATGTCCCGTGTTCTGACTGGAAACGGAGCCTTGTTGCTGTAGTGCAGGATGAAGCAGGCTGTCACCATTGGCCTGAGGAACAGTGTAGTCTCCATCATTGACGTATCTAGAGTCAAGGACTTCGGCTGCCAACTGCTCCAACGATTGTGCATTGTAAGGCCCATTCAGGTCAGATTGTTGATGATATGGACCACCATGAAGTATGACACTGCCACCCGATGAGCTCGGATCAGGATACATGTATGAAGCATGCTGCCAGTGCGGGATATTGGCCTCGGGAGCATATGCATACTGCTTGTATTGTTGAGGCGACACCATGTTGGTCTGGTAACTGGAATCCATCGAGAATGGCATCACAGGAGCGGCTTGTGAAGGTCGGGGTTGCTTTGATTTCTTGAGCGGACTTTCCATTTCTCCACTGATTCTCCTTTTCTTGGAGACAACTGAGCCACGAGGAACTGGTGTCTGCTCGGCCTTGATGGGATCAATCTTGCCATTCTCGTCGTGGATACAACGGCGNCTGTGTAAGTGTCAGTAACAGGATTGGTGGTGAGATACGAGAAAGAAAGGACCACGAACCTTGCTCTTGCGGCAGTCAAGACATGCCTTGCTTCTTCCGCGCTTGCTGTTCGGGTCTGCCAGCAATGCATTTCCAGGGATAATAGCAGGACCAATACTGTCTGTCGAGGTCATTTGCGCCATAGGGGCTATGCCGGTCGTTTGAACGATGTGTCCGTTTTGCAGACCCTGGAGACTCTGGTCGCTTTGTGTGTTCTGAATGGGTTGGATGTTCTGCTCAGTGGTCTGTGAAGACTGGCCAAAGGGTGTGATCGGAATGACTTGCTCTGGCATCTTGACAGGACTCACGGTGTTAGCGGCGAAGAAGTCGCGAGAATCCCTTCTCTGGAAATCATAAGGCAAAGCGTCTGCGGTCCCATCCACAGAGGGGGTCGATTGAAAAATCACGGCTGGCTGGCCATATGGTGTGCTCGTGGTAACGACGTCCTTATGCTTACACTTGATCCGGCGCTTGCGACATGCATCACATGCGACCCTCTTAGGGCCAAGTACTGATGTCTTCGGTGTGCTAGTGTGCTGGCTATTAGGGCCGGGTGTAGTCTGTGTTTGAGATGCTGGTGCAGAAGGCATGGAAGGCTTGGGAGATGTGGTGTCGGCGGGCTCTGACTCTCTGGATGCATGCTGGCGCGCAGATTGCCTCTCAGGAGCAATTCTGTAGGCCTCAAATGCTTCCTGTCTTTGCATAGCTTTCAATGCTCGAGCTCCCAGCTTCTTTGGCGCAGCACTCTCCTTGTCTGGAAGATCGGCATCAGGATGTGCCCAGGCTGGTGGATCCTCGTTACCTCGTTTCCATGCTACCCAAAGTGCGAATGTTCTGGCCAGCTCGAGAGGTTCGCCGCGCGATTTGGGAATAGACCTCATCACCTTCTTGCGAGTATCCTCCGTCACACCCTCGATTCGGCCCAGTGCAATCATAACAGTTCGGAAGATGAAGTTGATCAAGTCTGGCAATCCGTCCAACTCAGCCTGAGAGTAGTATCGACAGTTGTAGTATGCACTTCCGGGAGCGCGGTCCGAAAGTTGTCCATGCTGACCGAACTCTTCCCAGACAGGTCGTTCTCGAACGAATTTTGCGCCGCTGTAGAAGACTTGAGCAACTTCAGCAGGCAGAGGGTCTGTCTCGAGATACTTGATGACAGTGTACCACATGACCTTCTGGAAGTGTGGATATCTGAACTTCTGAGGAGTCTTGATGACCTTCTCAATGTCAACAATGCGGAACTGAGTTGAATAATGCATACGAGTCAAGAAGTTGCCTCCAATGACCAGACTGTTCTCCGGCGTCCATACAGCGTGGATCCAGCCAGAAGGAATGAGCATGGTGTCTCCTGCGGACAGATCAACTCGGTAACATTCTTTCGTCGCATCTGGCAACCATGTGAAGTTTTGCTCGTGCGAGTTATTCCAGTCTTCGTATTTCTTGAGATGACCAGGCTTTGGTGGGATGAAGAAGAAAGTCTTCTTGCCGCGTAGAATATGGTAGTACACCGACGAGCCGCCGAAATCAATGTGGAAGTCTGTGAAGCTGTCGGCGACAGACATGAGGCAGTAGAATTGCACCTTTGGATAGTTGCCTTTGAACGTTTCCTCATCTGGCCAGACCGAGTCCTGAAGATCGATATCTCTCACCACCTTGGGTCTTCTCAGAAGTCTTCCGAGTTTAGTAGAGGAAACCTCCAGACTGATAACATTGCGGACAGCCTTCTCGCCATCGGCTTCGTAGTAGTCTGCCCACTTCGACAAGTTCCATTTGCCCTCAGTACCCTGAGTCTTGACGTCGATTACTTCAAGGGGCTCGTGTGGGCCAACAAGCTCGGCAACATGTCTGACAGTCAGGTCCCGAGGTACAACCATGTCGAGGCGGTCTTGACCATCATCAGGTACGGTTTCGTATTCAAAGTCCCGTAGAAGAGCATCTTCTTCCTCTATACCAGTGAAAGCAAATTCTGTCGCAATCTCTCCATTGTCGCCAGATGGAACAGAACCCTGACGAGGAAGCTTAGGGTTGTACTCGGCAGGTATAACAACAGGCTCGGAGAACGAAGAGCAAGTCTCGAAGAATTCGCGAGTGACGAGCTCGGGACGCATACGAGGAAACAGTTCTTGGTCGAAGGTAAAAGAGCCATCCTTGATTGGTTGAATGTAGTGGTGCTCATGGTTGTCGTCGGACGTCTTGAGAATGCCTTGGTTCAAGCCGGCATAATCGACTGCTACATGAGCACGACTCGACTTTCGCACAAATGTGGTTGGGCCATATTTGGGCTCACAGGCCTTGCAGAAGAACTTGCTGACATCCCTCACATCGCGTTCATTCTTGAAACCAGCACAATCGAAGTGAAACCACAACTGACAGCCATTACAGCTTATCCACTGATCCAGCTCGCCGTGATTGGATTCTCGAGTCAGAGCGCAGCTGGCGCATACCGTCTCCTGAACTTCCTTAGAAGGCTTGCGCGGTTCTGCCGCCACTGGTTTTGTGGTTGACTGCAAGATTTCGTAGCGTAGGCTTGGAGGAACTGTCGCACCTCGAGCGTCTCCCGAGCGGTTTTGTAATTGCTCGGGATCTACTAACGACAGGTCCGAGTCTGATTTACGTCTAGGTCTCTTCTCTTCCGCGCTAGAGTCGCTGCTGTCGGCAACCGATTTCACAGTGGAAGCTCGTGATCTACGAGCTGAAGAACGAGGTTTGGTGGTCGTCGAGTTCTTGTTCCGCGGGCCACGAGGTTTGCCCTTGGGCCATCCGCGACGCGGTCTCGCCGCCGGTGCGTCTATCAGTTGCTCCACTGAAGCAGTCGGTAGCTCGATGGTTTCTTGGGTGGGAAGTGCCAGTTGTACAGCAGTCTGCTCAGATGTCCTGCGCTCCTCTTCAGGCGGAGTATGCGTTTGTTGTGGTGCGCGTGCCCTCGGTGGCTCTGTCACGATTGCGACGGGCAATTGATCGTTCTCCGTACTTTGGCTGATCCCTTTGTCTGTATCCATACTCTTTTCATCTTCGTTCGTGTCCTGAGGTGAGGGCAGGGATGCCGTGGCATGCTCCGAGGTTACGGATGGGACGGCGACCGCGGGGATGGGCTCCGGTATGATGACATGAGCAGTATAGGTCGGTAGCGGAGCATAGGGATATGCCTGAGGCGGGGGTGCCTGAGGTCCGGTGTAGAAGTTCGTATGGCTTGCAGGAGGTCCAAGAGGAGCATGGCGCCGAGTCGTAGCGGGAGGTGGGGGCTGAGAAGCAACGCGACCAGCAAAGTTCAACAGTAGCTCGGCGTCCTCTAGTGAGGTGACTAGTGTGGTGTTGGTCGATTGACGGCGTTGGCGGTCAGTGTTGTACGCCAAAGGCGGCACGCCTGGGTGGGAGAAGTGGTGACTGGATGAGGGCCGAGTGGGGAAGGAATAGGCTTGTGGGCCAGGGCCTGCATCGGAGCGAGCGCGTTTTGTACCACGAACAGGGCCGGGAGTAACGAAGTTGTCGGCAGTGGGTTGCACGGACGACGCGGCCGGAGGAAGCTGCGGACTTGTCGAGAGGGCAACATCGGCCAGAGCCTCGATAGATGAAGGTGAGCGCTTGTGTCCACGAGGCTTCTCTTGCTGTTGTGGTACGGTCGGCGGAGAGATTTGGTTCGAGGGCGAAGGCTGAGTCAGGGCGGGATAGTTGAAGGTGGGCTCAATGGGACGCGGAGGAGTGAGCGGCTCCCATTCAGGTGATTCCGGGGTATACGACCGCGCATAGGGATCGGTCGGGAGCGTAGGCGACTTGAAAGCGGAGCGCGATCGAGGCGCAATAGGTATGATTGGATCCATGTCTTGTCGTTGGAGCAAACGGAGCCGGTCGGTCGAGTCGAGGGTCGAGGGTTGGACGTGATGACTCGCGACTGAACCAGCTTGAGAACTAGAGAGCGGCGGGTTGGGATCTCATTTGGATAGCGCGCAGTTCAGCAAGCAAAGAACAAGCAAGGCTTCGATAGGCGATTACAGAGCGTGGATGATAGCTGTGGCCCTGGGTTGCGCAGAAGAAGGCAGTTGCGATGGGTCGACGCGGGGTCGTCTCTGCTACTTCCTACTTCAGCGGAAGCACTTCAGCGAAGCACGACGAGTGACTCGACACCCTTGCGCTTTTCCCTTGAACAATTGAGGCAGATGGTTTATTCTGGAGCTCCGACTGGATCGAACACGGCAATCACCAAACACAAAGAAGTGCTCCAGTGCTCGCATCCCGCAGCATTCCTCATCCATTGTCCGCCGGCGAAGGACGGAACTAGCCGTTGGCCGATCGCGACTTCCTTGGCGCTGCGCCGATACATCCAGCGAAACGACTGCCATCATTGCAAGACTATCCCCCTCGGCCTTTTCAGCCTCCGTCACGTCCACCATCTACCTGTATCCAAGCTATGAGTCGCGGCGGTAAACTTGCTCCCGAAGTGAACCGGTAGGCATTTGCTCGCACGCCATTGCCCACGAGACCAACCTAGCTGACTGTGCCACAGCNNGCGCTTTTCGTCAAGAACCTCAACTACAACGTCAGCCCCGACGACCTCTTTGAGCTCTTTGGCAAATTTGGTCCTGTTCGGTGAGCATCGGTCTTTCTTCCGGGCCCCACGCGACATTGCGCTAACGAGCTATCANGACAAATCCGCCAGGGCATCGCCAACAACACAAAGGGCACTGCATTCGTTGTCTACGAGGATGTCGTAGACGCCAAACAAGCCTGCGACAAACTGAACGGCTTCAACTTCCAGAACCGCTACCTCGTCGTCCTCTACCATCAGCCAGAGAAGATGGCCCGCCAAGCACAAGATCTCCAGCAGCGCCAGGACGACTTAGAAAGGCTCAAACGCCAGCATGGTATCGATTAGCGCCACGCGGGAGTCCCAGCCGTTAACAATGGCGACATCTCTGACCCGGCCCTTTCGACTACAACCACTCTGGTATCGTCCAAACGGCCCCAAGGTCTCAATGAGTCGCCGGTTGTGGCTCCCAAGCGCGGCGTGCGCTCGACCTGCCATAATCTAGGCAACCACACCTTTTCTTCACCACGAATCAACACGAGCTTTTTAGGGAGAATCAAGGGGACATGGCGTATACGCGGCTAGCTGTTCGCCAGAAGGCGACGGTTCATCACATTGGGGAATTGGGAGTTCTTTCTGTTTTTTCTGCGCAGAGTGCACTTGATTGTGCCCTGGCGGGTTTCGTTTCTTTTCTGTTACTCTCTACTTTTTACCAGGACCTGAGCATACCCAACTCGGTCATATCAAACTTCCATTCGATTGAGATAGTATCGGATACGCTTTTACAACTTCTGCAACCACATGCTCTACTGCAGTCTACCATTGAAGAGGACTGACTTGGTCATGCACCGTGAATCAGCAATTTCACTAAACAGCAAGCCTGAAAGAGCATACGCGGCGTCACATGATAGAGGCCGATCCTTATCTCTGATACATCTTCTTATCAAAGCCAAACACAGCGAGCACCAATCAACAATAGCCGCCGACACACATGAAACAGACAGCAGCACTTGCATCGAATCACATGAGACGGATGGTAAAAACACATATTGAACATGCTCTTGAGACATCTTTGTTTTCACACCGACTATCGTAGAACTTTCATATCATTTCACCAATCTAATCATATATGACCTTTGTAAGAACTCCCATCCATGATGACAAGAAGGAAAGAGTGAGGAAAGAGTACAAAGAAGTGAATGACCAGCACACACCCTTCGATCCTCTATCATTGTATCGTGAACTATCCCATGCAACCGTCCCGTCAAGGGCGCTTAGTAGCCAGTAGGCACGGGAACAGGAGCAGTAGGTCCCCAAGCGCCTGTAGGGAAAGGTGCGCTTGCGGTAGGAACAACAGGAGCTCCGGTAGGCTTAGGGCCCCAGTTGCCCCAGTTGCCACCCCAGTTTCCCCACCAGAAGTCATCGTGGTGCTCTTGACCGCGACGGGCACCTTCGAATCTCTTCTCAAAGGGCTTTGCGACGGCGTCGGTGGGTGCGGGTCCTTGGCCGGGAACCCAGCCTGTAGGGAAACCAGTGGGGAAGCCTGTAGGGAAGGGGTTGAAGCCGCCAGAGGGAATGGGGAAGCCTGGGAAGCCACCGGTTGGTTGAGGGAAACCGCCGGTAGGATGAGGGAAACCGCCAGTGGGGTGGGGGAAGCCGCCGGGAGGTTGAGGGAAGGCTCCTGTAGGGCGAGGGTGCCAGCCGAAGTGAGGAAGAGCGGCGGCGATGTTGAGGAATAAGGCAAGAGCCGAGACGATGAGAGATAGTCTTGCGAACATTCTTGCTGTATTGATATATCTTCTTGGTACAGGTGGTCGACAGATCAAATGAATGGGTTGTGAAGTTCAGCGAATGTTTTTTTCTCTGCTTCCAAAGGAGATGAAGAGAGTGACAGAAGAGTTGATGGATGCAAAGAAGAAAAGACCTACAGGGAACTCAGCATACAAACCTCTTTATGTATCTTTACCACCCCACCGCATTCCACGAAGCGAAAACGAAAAAGACTTTCTACCTCTTACAGCAAAAGGACAGGGATCTTCTCACCAGCAGCCACCTGCTGGGTTCCCGAAACCGACTTCACATGCACGATGTCCGTGAATCGTTTGCCTGCATCTCGAGCCAAAGAGAACCCTCCAGCCCTCTTCCCGAGCCAGAGCTTGTGTGTGTGAGGCGAAGTGCGCAACATCGGAAGCAGATAGAGTAGTTGCCAGAAGCAGAGGCCAGGTCAGGTCCCGTTGGGTCACTCAACCTTGCACCTGCCTGCTCGACTCACTACTGCTTTGCGGAATGTCCGAAGGTCCGTCGTCATGCGTGACCGAGTGACCGTTTGCTATCAATGACAGACACTGCTCACCCACCAGAGTCAAGATACGCAGGGGTTGACCGCGGCCCCATGCTCCGAGTTGTGTTACGCGTTCACCAGCCAGCGCTTGATTGCTGATCGATCACAACAGCGATGGCAGACAGCGAGCTAGATGGGGCTGGCGACATGATGTGAACGATTGCCGACTAGTCGACATGTTCGGTACGATCTCGGTGCTCCGTGACAGAAAAGACGGCCTGTCGTGCTGTTGCGAGGATGTTTGTGTTGAGGAACTTGCCCCTGGGGATCAAGGTGTGGGGACCTGCCTCGAGTGGAGCCTCTTGCCCTGGCCATTCTTGCTCTTCAGCCACTTCCGACCCAGCCTCTTTTCTAGACAACCTTGTTTGCTCTTCTACACATCATGCCTCTCATCACATCATCATCCCTTCGAATATCACTAGGATTAGCCATCGATTGCGACTTTCCGGAGTCATAAGCTCATCGTGTTGTCTTGCAACGTCGTCCTGCTGCCAGAAAATGCTCCACCTTGTCATTCCTGACGAAGCGGCTCTTCGCGTTTCGGAACAACCTCTCAACATAAACCCATGTGCAAGCCACCACAAGGTCACCAAACAGCCGTGGTGGATGGCGGGAGGAACGGGATGGCCGATCAAACATGCATGGTGAGCGTTTGTCGCAAAAGCCTCCAGAACCTCATCATCTTTTGCCGAGCTCGACTCAACCCTAAAGGTACGTCTTATTGGAGGCAAGTGCCCTATCCCTGTCAACTATCTTTCAACAAGAGAACGTTTTTCTATCAATCTTTGACCCTGGTTGTTTCGCTGCTTTTATGTCGCTTGCTCCTCTTGGTGTCAAGTATGTATGATCATCAATTCATGCACAAAGTCGCATCATCAACGTCGGTTCTCGAAACAGCTGTATGAGAGATATGGCTATTTACATGTAAGCGAACTCAGATTTCCATTTTCTCTACGACTTCTGTCTCTCAACAGTCATATACCTCTTTCTCGTCCATTCTCGTCCGTCTGTGAAGAGAGGAAAAACGCTCGTCACATCAAATCGCAAGAAGATCTTCTCTTCTGAGTCTCAAATTCCATGGTCTGTAGGCGAGCAAGATCCACCAACAATACTCAACGAAGTGCCTGGACCAAATATTTCGGTGCGAGAGGTACCGTGTCCTCTGTCCACACAGCAAAAGGTACACGGCTCCGGGCAGCAGGTACAGTGACGGCCAGACGCCGAATACTCACAACATGCCTGCATCCTGCACGAACTGCACGCACATCCGAAAGAACCACCTACAATTTTCTGCCATCCGCGGCTCTGGAGAACAGCTTGTCTAGCTCACTGCTCAAAGAACGCATCATACCAAGGAATACCGTCCATAATCACCTAGACTCCAGACCAACCTTCGGAGTCTTGGCCTCCGGATCTCCATCGAGAAAGAAGTAGCAGTCCAGAACCTGTCTTCCTCACACAGGCACTTACCTCTCCGGCCGTCTACGGAACACAGACAAGCATTAATCCAATACTTTCACAGATCCAAGCATCAGATACCGTTCTCCAAAGATGCTTTTGCGATAAATTGCAGAAATAAGCACTGTTATCGAAACAAGAAAAAACAAATCAGCACTTTACCCCCGTCCTTTTTTTTTTCCTTATAAGAAACTACGGGAAAAGATAAGAGAACGCGCATCTAACAACATAAGATGCTGACAGCAGCCCTTGCCGGATTATTTGCTGACCACATGCATTTTCTCCTATCGAATACATGGAACTTGTACTCAGGTACCCTACAATTCTTCCCGCATCGCATCTTCTTTTTTGGTCCACTCGGCACTTTTGTCAGCAAAGGATAAGGATATTTTTTTTTCCCTAGCATCTGATCTTTTGGCCCTTGTGGTCCTGCAGATATGCAAGGTCCCCCACCAAGCAGGCTGTGACACGTCTCATCCCCTTTCATACATTCGGAC